GTGAAAACTATTGGGAATTTTAAATTTTGACCTCCCCAATGCACCAACGATATTCACTTCCAATCGAACAAGATGCTGAAGTTGAAAATCGAAGCATTATTTCGACTACTTATCGTGTACCTACACAGAAAAAAAAAACACATCATTGTAAAATCAATACATTCATCGTTCCACTCAAAATCTAAAAGTTCTTTTTATTATCATTAGTGCGCCTATTCAATGTTTACGATGCCGGTTAATTAATTTATACCATTGTACCTAAATAGATAAAAATATAGATGTTATTTGAAAACACGATTAAATTAGAATTTATTGTAATAAAATGCATAGGTATAAATATATATTAATGTTAAAATTTGAGTCATATTACTGAAAAATGTTTAGTGTTTGTCTAACCATAATAATGTTTTGTTTGAATATTTATTAGTGTTGTATGTATTTTTAAATGTATACATGTAATTAACTAATTAGCAGTGGTACTTAAATATTTTTTCTTATAACACTTGTTTTTACACACAAAACATTAAATAATATGAGGTTTATGTAAAAAAGTTCAATCGCAGAATATTATATTATATTTCCATGCAAACACAGGCTAATACCGCAAGTTATAAAATATGTTTCCAATCGTAAGAGAATGACCTCTTACATTTAATACAGTACATTACATTGTTTTTAAAGATTTGTGTTACAAATGAATAGATGATTATACAGGGGTACATCGTATATCGTATATTATACAAATATATTAATATTAATTACTATTTTTAAATTAATTAAAATTTGAATTGCTCTGCTTTTATAACCTCATCCACTTTAAGTCTGAAGGGCATCGCATCACACTTATTTTTCGACGTTTTAGACCAATAAGCGGTGGTAAGTTACACTTACTTCCGAATGTCCGATTTTAATTTTTAATATATGTATAAATTCTTTGGCAAAATAGCTAGGCTTTCTAGGGAGTCGATTTTCAATTTTCAATTTTAAAGGACAATAAAATTTGGATATTTTTTTAAAAAATCTCATGAAATAATTGCATTACATTTGTATTTATTTTTGCGTTTTGGGTTTTATATCAAAAAAGTGGTTCCTACAAAGCATAGTCTAGGAGCTTACGAATTCAACCCTTTTTCGAAATTACAATCAAACTTCAGGGAGTATGTTTAATTTACCATCGCTTTTGGTAGTTTTTATAGGTGATGCATAGAAGAAAATATTTCGTTTTTCTCGATTTATTGACATGTGCGTGTGCGTGCTAGAGTGACACACGACGAATTCCGAACGTATCTACTCACACTAATGATAATTTACTTCGCACACAACCATATTGCGTAACGAGCATAAGACATCGAATTGCTTATAAGCGACCCCTTATTAAATCTATTAAATCACCGCCACCAATCCCCCTTTAACTCTATTTACGGAAATACCATTTGGACGACTCATAATGTACTCAGTTAACAATTATTTATGATGTATTATCTTAAAAATGTTAAGTGTACCCATGTAAGTTATTCTACAGAATTCCAATATAAAAATGTAAAAATAATATTTGTTTAATTATAATATTTAGAATAATGTATTAGTTTTCATCTATCGGAAAAATAGATAATAAGTTATTGGTCTCATATTTTAAACAAAATTAAGTTACAAAACATACGTTTGTATATACATAGGTATTATAATTTTGTATATTCGCATAGATTAAGCAAAATAACTGAAAATATTTATGTATGTTCATTGACATTTGTTTGGGTTTAGAAGCAAAAAAAACGTTTTTATCTTTTAAATGAATAATTCGAGATAAATTATAATTAATGAAAATATAAATAGAGATAAAGAGTTATAGTGAAATGTATAAATTTAAATGCGTCATCTATAAGTTTTAATATTATGTTGCCTATATTTACACTGTTCAGGATAATGAGCTTAACATACCAATCGCTTATTTAGTGATACATTTTAACGATAATGATATGTAATCTACAATATTAATAAATATTCAAATTATTATCTATATGGGATTGCGTTAGTCATTATAATAAATTATATATACAGTAGGACAGTAGGTAATGGTATAATAATTTTTGACTGAGAATTACAAAGTGATACGTATGTACATATGATACGATGTACATGATGTGGTATCGTGGTGGGAATATAGGTTCAACATTGATATTGCAATCTTATAATATAGTTCCCAGATGTTTTATCCAAAAAAATACATTCATGAGATAATCAGACTATGAGAGCTTATAATTTTACCCCCCCCCCCCCCCTTCATTTTTTTATATATAAAACATCTTATTCAAAATAAATATTCCACAATACAAAATATATACATGTTATATAATTAAATAGGTAAGAAAAATAAATTTAGCAAACAACATGACCTTAAATTCTCATCTGGATATAGTACTTTCCGCTACTTATTTATTGCTACATGTTCGGTAAAAAATAATGAGATTAATTTAAAAAAAAAGTTTTCCAACAATATAACAATATTCGTTACAAACTAACATTTATTTATTTTCATTTATTTTAAACGAGCTCGACTCATAAACACATATTTTATAACATTATAGGCAACTATAAGTACCATCAGTATATTTTAAATAACGGTCATAGAAATTAGAGGCGTCCTTTATTAGTACCGAGCTCGCGATTGATGTAGATGACTGTTTCTTACCTCGACACGCCGACCTAGGTTCGTATAATCTTTGAAAAACTGTCGATAAGTTAACGATTTGATTAAAATCCTATACAATTTACGAACGATTCGGATGTTGGGTGGCCACTTTTTTCCTTTAAAACTGACCAGTAACCAACGTAAATTATCATATTTATCCTCTCATCAGTAAGTAAAGCCAGGTTTCAACTACACCGTGTCGTCTAATGTTCCGCACAATATCTAATAATAATATTTAGGTAGATACTAAATGTCTAAATGTATTATACATGTGTATAATACACATTGAATATTATATTCATAGTATTCAACTCTCTACAACACGGTATAGTGGAAACAAGGCTTAACCCATATGCATGACAATCCCTTCAACAATGGAATATACCCTGGCATAAAGTCATCCGCCTCGATCGTGGTCCATATTGTATACGGTATTCACAAGCAATCGGATAACCACTCGGTATACTTTCTGTCGGCCTGTCTCTTTTGACCGCTCTTTTAAGTGCTGTTCAACTCTTGGGCAAATCGTTTTCGCTACATCATCCACTCATTAACATTAATAGTATGAACTGTGAATTGGTACACACTACACAGTTCCAAATTCATTATTTACAAAGAAAGTATAAAAATAATTAATTACAATTAAATTCAATGTTCAATAGATAGGTATGGTAAGCTATATGTTTATTACCTATAAAGCTAGTAAAAATTAATTTCTAATGATTATAGAAGAAGAGTTAGAGTAGGATAATAACTAATGTTACGTAATAAGTATATAATTTAATAATTTAATTTACTTAAATATATAAAAATCTGTAGAAAAAAATCGACGTCCCTACAAAAGGGCCACCTGCTCCCTAGGCACCCTTATATACGTTTCAGGACATAATAAAATGATAATATATAGGTAATTAGTAAATAGTCCTATACGGTATATATTTGTTTCCCTATAGAAATTGTTGTAATATAAATTATAACAGATAATGCAGTTTTGTTAAATAAAAATGTCAACAAATTAAAATTTTTATATTCATCCATTATTTAAATTTATTTATTTATATGTATAAATATAATATATATATAATATATAGGTATATACTTTGTTTTAATCATAATATAACGACAGCTTGTTCGGGTTCTCTATAGTTCTAGTCTTCAACTATTAGGTACAGATATTCCAATAATAATTGGAAAACCTTTTTTATGTATTTGTAATTAGCATTAAGTATTGCGTGCAACTATTATTAAAATAGTTGCCAGTTTATAATATTATAATCCTTATTACCGAGTTTATACAGTCCGGTATAAATGAATAATCGGTGTGCATCAGTAATGTATTTAAAAGTCATTGAATGCGCGTAGAATGTCATTGTATATGTCACCGAGCCTGAATGTAAACCGAAAACAAAGGCAATAATAATTATTGGCGTGTCTGAAGCAGAATTGCTCGCAACGTAAAGTAGAAAACGTGTGGACGGTTCTCGGACGGAATGAATAACGTTTTGTTCAGGGCGTATAATAATATTATGCTGTGTATATAATGAGTGCAGCGATATTATGGACGACGACGACGACTGTGAAATACGTTTAGAGACCGCGACGGTGGTCGGCGGCCGGCGACGCGCTTTCGGATGTGGTTCTTTACAGCGTTCGGGTGCAGTTAATATTTTATCAATTAGGCTGCCGTTTATCGTTTCATTAGGATTCTAGTGTTGTCGCCGTCGTCGTCACCGGGAGTGGAATATCACGCCCTCCCCCCAACCATCTCACTGCTAGCGTGCGTTTCATTGACGGCGGCGGCGGCGGCCGTATGTACACATCGTTGCGCGGCACACACAGCCGGCCGCGCTAATCTAAAAAATTAAACGGAACACGGCAGTAACACACAACACCTATATAATATACGGCAGCGGGCCGCCAGTACGTACTCGCGGCGTGCCGTCGTCGTTCCGTCCGCGTGCCAGTCGCTCTGGTGACCGTTGTCGAGCCGGCAGCGTGCGTGTGTCGTGGTCGTGTTTACCGGTCGAGCTTCTCGCATTTTTCGCAAATAAAACCGCGCATAGTGTGTCTTGTAATCGATATTGCAATAATATTGTTATTATACCTGTGCGTCTTTTGTTTACCTAAACAATAATCGTGCGTTAAAAAAAAATTATTTAATTATATATATATACCTGCATGGTTGATTAATTAAATTTAATATATTATATTATTGCACGCATTATACTATACGTCATATCGTGTTTTTGCGCGTCGTTTTGCGGATGGTCCGCCTGCGTTTCCGTCGTCTTTCCCCGGCCGTCCACGAAACATGTTGACCATGCCACCGGGCGCACTGCAAGGTCAGCGCTCGGCGGGCCCGCCCAAAGTGGTCGGCGAGATATTAAAACGCGGGGCCGGCACGGCGCCGACCGTCGTCGAAGGGATTACGTCGGGCCCCGGTCGGAAGCGCCAACAGCCGTCCGGGGCGCCGGCGGCCGCGGCCATGGTGTTGGCCAAGGACATGGCCACAGGCCGCGGCAAGTCGTCCGGCGCCGCCGCCGGTTCGCAAAGCCCCAGAGCCGCCCGGCCGTCGGCAGCTATTTCGATCCGACCGAAACCGGTCCCGCCCTCAGTATCCAGGAAAACGGTGGCGACTGTCGTCGGCGGCTCCAGCAGGAAGCCGCAGCCGTCCAACAAGTGTCGTCGGCCCACGTCCGCCGAACGTGTCAAGGTATATACACCACTGTAAACGCTTACATATACGGTTTATACAGGGTGATATATACATTATCTGTAGTGAATATAGGGATCACTCTTATATATAACTAAACTTTAAGAGAACGTCTCATCCGCATGTATTGTCTCCGTCTTATGAACCAACAAAATAGCAAATTTGTATTCAACAGATTTTGTGTCCAATTTTGTGTAATAAGCTTTAATAATAAAGTGAATTTTCTTACTATCAAACTTAAAGATGAGACTGTAAAAATATTATCGGTGTTTCCTCGTGGGTTTTTGCGATGTTTAAACTTTTAAGCAAGTTATGAGCATGGAAAATATTACAATTAAATAAAATCCTACCTAAACTATAGTTGGAAATTTTAATAGTTGTTCATTATTCAGTACATACACTTTAACGTTTTTAAATAAGTTACATAGTATCTGATTGTGGTTGCGTAATGAATTTTTTTAAAAAGAAATGGTAGTGTTAATTAATGTTTTCCGACTTATTTGAAACATTTCATGTGCAGACATGCAACAAAAATTGTCAAAGAGTGAGAAAAACGTTATAAAAGTCACCCTATATATAATAATAATAATAATAATAATAATATACTTTATTCGGTGTGCATCGTTGTCGAGGGTGACATACAGAGCGTTATTATAATATATCATTTGTACCATAGGTGTGTGCGACTGGTTTTCGAAAACTACAAATCGTATTCGACACGTCTCCGCAGCAGCGTACGCAGGGAATTTATATATTATATTATGTCGAGTGATAATAATATGTTATTATAATATTCGTAATATATTATATGCCTACACGTGGTTGGGCGTTATTGCGATCCGTTTCTGTCGTGTCCGCGACAATTGCATCGTAGGTATACATTATATATTGTATATTATTTTGCATGTTCTCTGATTCTGGACCGTTTTCCGGTCGTTCTGGGAATAAATAAAAACGACACTTTACGATCATGATAAATACACGTTTTCAGACTTTCGACCATCTCACTCGCCGTAAATGCATAATAATAGACGTACCTATATTTCTCACAAATACATTTATTATGATATAAAATTATGCTCGCACGTTTTGTTATTTTTTTTTTTATGCGCGTTTAACATATTACAATTCGAAAACGACTTTCCGGAAGTTATCGCTTCATTAGGTTATATTATGTAGTTTTTAATTTTGTTTGCACAAACTGCGGCGACTTTTAAAAACTGTACACCTACTTACATTCGTACGATTTAATATAACGGGATTTGTCGATGTTAATGAAAAGCCGCATGCATTGTTTCGGACGGGTTGCCATTATTATTGTACCGCTGTCATAATAATTTATTGACCTCATTGACCATTTGGAAAGATTATGTTATATAATATAATAATATATTCCCGTTTCTCACACTTGTTATAGAATACAATATAAAATAATAAGTGTGTGTCGTGTGTGTACCCATGTCCTATATTATATTGTATATAATTTTGTAATACGCACATTTACCAGTTTTGTTTTCTTCGCTTGTATACTTTATTATATTATGTTGGGTTTTCGATTTTATCGCGACAAAAGGATCAAACCTAAATCATTCAAATACCTTATCTCTAGTATGTACTAGTACAGAATCGAAAAATTATACCCACATGCCACCATGACTACATATTATAGACCGCATATTTCTCATTTTATTTTATTATTTAGTTCTCAATTAATAGTTGTTATCGGTGCTCCATGGGCCTTTGGACATGTGGTAGTATGTTTATCAACACAATATTTATTATATAAACACTAGCTATAAAGTATAAACCGATATTATTCTTAAATTATCTTTAATATTATTTTTAATATTTTAGTCCTTTTATTTTTTTTTTAAAACCTGTTTTTTTTAAAATTTTATTAGCTATAAAAAACTTTATAGATATCCTAAAATGTTGTAATTTTTAAAATTTGGCTAACATATTATTTGGATTGATTTTTAAGAATCTCTCTTCGAGTGTGTTCAATAAATTCAGTCTAAATTATTATCTTTTTAAATCTTGACTCTTTGTGTACATGTGTTATCCCAATATTATAATGAATTTTTTTCTTAAGTTATAAGGTTCATTATATTGTTTTCCGTTACAATAAGTGTAAACGTTAAATTCTACTTCGTACTCGATAAAATATCCAATACATGACTACGTTTATTTTTAGCTATAAAAAAAAGTTATGGATTTAAATGTTTGATATATTGATGAAACCTGTAAGATATTGGATACGGTTCAATTGAACCGTTAAAAAAACCAAACTATACATGACTACACGTCAACGCACTTATTGAATGCGCTCGTTGGCCGTTGCATTATTATACGTCATTTAAAATTGATTATTTTATAATATAGTGTTAGTGTATATAATAACTAAAAAGTAATACGCAATATCCTAGTAAATCAATTTTTAATTGATAAGTAAATTTTGGTTTGTTATTATTGAAACAGCATTAAGTATTTTTATAGTTCTTTTGATTGCCACCAAAGTAAATTAATTTTTAAAGTTGTCAGTACTCAACTTGTTGAACATTACATATTTCAATTGAAATAATCAAGTTAAAACAAGTTATTAATGTTGTATGTTTCTGATTTTTTAAATTTATTTCCTTTACTAGTTGGGTATACTTTAATATATTGTCCTTTTAACTAGTTATTTGTTTAGTGAATGCTTCATTGATTTAAATTTATGCTTTTCGGAAGATATATTTATTGGAATAAAATATAAAATCACCGAACCGATAAAAAAAAAAACAACGAAAAACGTATTCTGAAGTTTAAACGTTACATTGTTTCTTAAACCATATTAACATTGTAAACGAAATTAATCTAGGGCGTTTTTTTTATTTAATCGCAACCATATTTACATAATATAATATCCTATAATACAGTTAATTACAGTTGAGTCACGATTACTCGAAGCTCAAGCTCCAAGCTCTAAATCTTACTTAAAAATGTTTCGAGTTATACACCTTATACTTACAACTTATACTTAATAATACTTTAAGGGACAAGAAAGAAATTAGTTAGTAAGCAGAGGCGGATTTAAGAGTTCAAATAAAGTCGGAAAATCCATAAGTGGGATACAGTAACAGTGTGCATCAGTAACATAGGTACTTAAAAATTGTTGTTTTTATCAACCAAACTTAAATATTGTAAATTATATTGCAGTAAAAAAGGTAATAAAAAATATAAACTAATAGGTACTATATAACTAATATATTACTAATATAATGTGTTAAAAATTAACTTTATAATTATTTAGGGGGGCCACAGTACAGGTACATATTAGGAAAAGGGGACCTGTCGGCATTCGCCAACTAAACGTCAGTTAAATCCACTATTGTTATTAAGGATTTCGATTTTCGAGTCATTGGAACTCAACTGTATATTATATAAGAATAAAGAATACATTCAATGAAGATTTTCCGATAGAAGGTTATTTTTTACATATCAAATTAATTAAATTAATGTACACTGTAAGTCTGTAATTCTGTATAGGTATAATAACTATTTAAAAATATTATAAAGTTTATTTTACTTTTCTATAATAATTGCTATCTAATAATTTAAGGATGGTTGAATTATTTCAACTACAGTCGAGTCTCGATAACTCGAATCTCAATGGAAATAAAAATAAATCTGACTTAAAAATGTTTCGAGTTACCGAGGTTTAAGTTATCTTGATTCGACTGTATGATATCAATGTATAATATATACCTATATATTAACTATAGGTACCATGATAAATACTATATAGTCATGATGTTATTATTCTTATAATTTATTTATTTATTCTTTTGGTACATGTTCTAATATATATTATTGAACTGTATACAATTTATTGTATATTAATTTATTATTCACGTCTTATTTTTGTAATAACGTATCACGGATAACCTTTGTTTTATGTCCGTAAAACGAATATAAGAAATACAAACAAATAATAATTTACGTTTAAATCTCAAAAAATCTTGCATTATACTTATTTAATAAATTATAATAACTTAACAAATGTTTTTTTCCGCTTAATTTTTGTTTATGTTTTGGCATATTATAGCGTATGTAATATGTATACGTTTGTTAGTTTAAATAATAACGTAAGCAAGGATCGTAAATACATCTAACATGGTAATCTAATCTATAGTTTCTTGTTTATTCACAATTGTATTGTACTTCACCCAGGGTCAAAAATATCTGTGTATACAATATACAGTTGCATCTGCATTAAAAAACTGACATTATAGTGTTGTAATAACTGCTAAAAATTAAAACATCTGAAATACTTTTTTCCTTTGTCTTTTAGTGGCTGGGCAATTGTTTATCTATGATATAGTTTCTTTACATTAAGGTACTTACTTATATTTATATTTATTGATTATGATATATTGCTGACAAATATATCATAACAACAAAATGTCGATTTAATTAAATACAGTTTTTAATTTTTCTCTAGTAGTATTTTGTATATGCATCAGACTAAAAAAAAGTGTTTACGATGGCTATTGACTTTAAAATTTTCCACTGCCCTACACACGTATAATAATAGTAAAAACTTCTATCCGTAGTTCACTAATTGAGATCAGATCATTGAAATTAAGTTTCATTATTCACCTTTTTTAACAAAGTATATGATTAAAGGATGATATTCTGTGTTTATTCAGACATTATTTTTTTATATTTTGAGTTTTAAGAAAGTTATAAAAGTAGTATGTTAGTTATTTTTATAAGTACTAATAACTTTCTTAAAATTAAAAATATTAAACAAAGCTTAAGTTAAAACACGGATGATGTTATCCTCTTTAATTGTTATAATGTTATAAAAGGTTATATTACCTTAATTTCAATAATGTAATCACAATGAGTGAAATACGGTGAGAGGTTTTGACTATATTATAAGCAAGTAAAAAGTAGAAACAATTATACCAGTGTGCTCTAGTCTGTTAACAATATTACCTTTCCGAGAACTTTTTAATTCGCATTGTTATTTTAATGTTAAGAAATTTTATAGGAAAATATTTTTCTTATCTCTCGAGCAGATGCAGTTGCGGTCATTGACCATTAAGGCCAGACATACTGACACTGTTTTTTATTCAATATTACCTCACGTGTTTTTTTCATTATTAACGTAATATATTTTTTTGTTCATTAATAATTGTATGAATAAAAACACAACTTTTTATTATAGAGACATTTTTTGTTGTATGTATTTTGGTTTTAATACATTTTGTGTTATACAATGGTATATCATATAATTATAATATATGTAATTTGTTTATAATTACATTATATAATTGCTTGTCTAAGTAAACAAAGTCCATTGACTATTGATAATAACAATTTAATTGAACACTTTAGGTACTTTAATATATACGCAACTTTTGCGTATATGTGAAATGTGTTGGTTTGATTAATTATTAATCGCAAATATAGTTACCCTATAATCCCAAATGGCTCAAATACTTTCAATACTTTCTTTCACTTTCTCTTAATTATCGGAGAATGTTACCACCCGAAGTGGTTATTTACGTTTTATTTTACTCCAAATATTCCATCATAATTCATCAACATAATTTGTATATATTTCCATAATAAAACCACTCATTTATAAATACCTATATTTTTATTTTAGGTTTCAAAGTCGGAACCGGAATCAAATGATTCGCCAACCGAATTAAATTCACCTGATTCTGATGCTTATTGGTTAGTCCACAATGAAGGATTTTCGCCTGTACAATACACAAGGAAAAAAACTTCTGACGGTTCATCAAAAGTATTGGTTAAGGTGTTTGGTGGTAAAGAATATAACGTGGACGAAGAAAGCCTAGAAAAGGTAAGTTGAAAGTATGATTGGTTAATATATTGGTATAAGGGTTTTACCATTGGAAATTTGTTAGAAAGTTCAGGACGTTAAACTCTATAAAATGTTGTAAAAAAATTTAAAAATCACTAAAAAAAAAGATTTATTTCTAGAAAAGTTTCATTATTTCAGTATTAAAACAATGTTTATTTTAATAAAAACTGTTATCTTACTGAAATTAATTAAATAGAATAATTTTTTGAGAATAACGAAAACATGATTAATACTAATTTTAAAGTTGACTTTATTATTTTGGTAAACTTAAGAGTAAAGATATTGACATATAGTAAAATAAACCTATGTGTATTTGGTGTTCAATTTACATATTATGTGTTCATATTTTATAAGAGACTACATATCAGTGGCGCGGTGCTCAGGGGGGGGGTTAAAGGTTATAAACCCCTCCCCCCTAAATTGTCGTTTTTTTTGCCGACTTACAACAAACAACTTATCTATTAATTATTACAGCTTTTTTAGAGTCATTACTTTTTATTAATTATTAATTTTATTTGTTGGGTCAAAAAGCTTGAAAATGTAATACAAGGCTCATCCTAATGTATCGTTCAGTGGCAGTTGAAAATATTAAAAATAGATAGTTACAATTTTTTATATAAGCATTTAATTCAAATTTTGAAAAAATAAATTAAAATAATCACAAAAATTTGCACATTATATTGAGTAAGAAAATTAAATATTAATTTAATTTAATACAAGATTCCTCATAAGTTAGTTTATCTTTATCAAAAAAAAAAAAAAATTTAATTAAAATTTTTATTAGCATTTGAAGTTCAAATTTTTACGTTTTATATTCACTCGATTTCTTATGTAGCGATTTTCTTATGTTGTCATAATTCAATAACAAATAACCGCAGATACTACAGTTTTACACTAAATGTTTATTTTATCAGGTCCTTACTTTATAAAATTTTAATTTTAGATTCTGAGAGGAGCGATGAATGTATTGATTTTACAATAATTTGTTTTTTTTTTTAATTTTAATTTTTTTGCTGCAGTCATTACCGTTTGGGGCAGTAAAACTGCTTCGATTTTCTTCAACAGTATCTTATTCGATGGGAAAGTAAATATAGCTGTTGCATTCAGGTGTTAAAATTCCCAATGGTTTTCAAAGGCCCCGGAAAAAACAAAATAAAAATTAAGGAAAGACGGGAATTTTTACGCAAAATCGGTTTTCGACAAAATCGATTTTTGGTTTTGGTGTAACTCTAAAAAAAATGACCGTAGGTACATGACATTTTTAATGGTTGTTTATATTAGCATTTTCTATAACCGATACAATTTTAAAAATATTTGGATTTGTTTTGAACTTTTTACGGGCATTTTCAGTTTTCAAATTTTTTAGATTTTTTTCGTATGAATGTCAATAAAATTTTATTTGTTGGCTAAAAAAGCTTGGAATTTTAATACAAGGCTCCTAGTAGTAACTCCTGTTCACCAAATTCTCAATAATTTAATTTTTGTTAATGTATTCCTTAAACGTCTGAAATAACCCTAATTAAAGGCTAATTTAAGTACAGTTTTAAAAGTTGAATGTTTAGTTTCTATTAAGCATTCAAATAGTTACCTATATATGCTTTAAAATGTACGAAAGAAGCATATTATAATAATTTTAGTAAATGAGCTGGTGTGCATGATGTCAAACATTAGACAATAAAGTATAAAGTATTTAACTAAGCCAGGAACAACTATTTGTCTAAAAGATAATTTTGAACTCATAAATTTGTCGTAATGCACTTATTAATTTTTTTTTTTTAAATTTTAGATGAATCCAGTAAAAATGCAGTTGACTGAAGATTTATCACAGTTAAATTATTTAAATGAGTCAAGTATTTTAAATGTTATACGTAGTAGATATACCTCAAATCTTATCCACTCATATGCTGGACCCACAATGCTAGTTGTTAATCCCGGATCTCCATTAAATTTGTACACTGATAAGGTAAACACATTACTTGTGACTTTAAATAAAATTTAATTAACTGCTATAATTAAAATATTTTTTGTAATTGTTGAGGTTATGCATATGGTTAAAAATCTTCATAAGATTAATAAACAACCACCACCTCATGTTTATGCTATGGCACAGTCTGTATACATGGCAGCTGTAACTACACGTCGCGATCAGTCTTTAATTCCTATGGGATGTCAAGCAAGTGGAAAATCAACGTCATGTAAACATTTATTACAATACCTTGTACAAACAGCAGTATCTCCTAATAAGGTAAATGAGGATAATTTGTATATTTTAAAATATTTAAAGTTATTTGATTTTACGCGGTTCATTTTCTAAATATACTTATAGGTTGTTACTCTTGAAAAGATTGAAGCCATGTGGACAGTATTAGAAGCTTTTGGAAATGCGGCGACTGCAAATAATCCAAATGCTACTAGATCTGTACATTTATATAGCATTGATTTAGATCAAGGTGGACAAATTGCATCAATGTCCATTCAAATGCATTTTTATGACAAATGGAGGCTCATTGATCATCCTCCTAATGAATTCTCTTTTCATGTATTCTATTACTTGCTAGCTGGTATAGAAAATATTCCTGCGCTACGTAAAGAATTATATTTAGATCAAATCAATGATGATTTGAAGGTGTGTAATAACTAATAAGTAATAAATAATAAAGTATTAAATATTTAAAAAAAATACTTATAAATTACTGTAAAATTAAAATATTTGTTTAGGGAGTTGATAAAAGTCAAGCAGCTGTGGAGTTCACTAATCTTCAATCTGCTATGATGATTCTTGGATTTTCAAACACTGAACTCAAAGCAATTTATGCTGTGTTAGCTGCAATTATACATCTTAGTCACACAAAAATAGTTAAAAAAGGTGACAAATTTAGTAAATCTAAAATGAATAATTTATAATTATTACATTTGCATTGTATGTTCTTATCTAGATAGTATATTTAAAGACAAAGTACAATGGACTTGGAGCAATTCCGATGCAGCAAAACGAGCTGCAAAATGTCTTGGCGCAGGAAATTCTGATGATTTGTTTAGCTTGGTATTTCCAGATGTTGAGATATTTGTTGAGTGTGATATTGGCGACCAACTAAATGCTTTGATTGTTGGACTGTATACAGAGACATTCAACCTTGTAGCATCGATTATTAATCGGTAAAATTATTTTATAATTATGTATAATATACATAATATAATATTTATATGTAATATGTATCTGTATATTTCAATTTCTATGAAGATATTTTATAATGTATAAAACCTTATACATGCATTATAATATATTTTTATTGTCTACTTACTGAATATTAATTATTATTATTTTTTTTTTCAGTAAACTAGCTCCATCCATCCATTCTCTTTGTTCTATTATAATTCCAGATTATCCAGGATATATTGTTAAGTCAAAGTCTGCATTAACCATGTTTGATTTTTGGACAAATTATCTTCACGAACGACTGTTATCAAGTTATCATAATTATGCTGTTGTTGCTCCATTAGAAAAATATAAGATAGAAAAGGTAGAAACAGCTGCTAGTTATGAAGCTGAGTTTTGTGCTGAAGACCACATGTTAAAATTATTTATTGGAGCTAAAGGAGCTGTTGGTTTTGGTCGCAGTCCATCAATGGTAGATTTAAAGCCTGAACCATGCCCTGGTTTGTTGAGAATTCTTGACGATACAGCTGGTGATACTAATTCAAATGATCAAGATCTTATTGAAAAAATCCAAAACATATCCAATGATAAATGTTAGTTACAATTTGTAATAGGTCACTTTTATAGATTGGTCCAAAAATATATTAATTGGTTTTTTTTTGTAATTTCAGCATTTTTAAATATTCTAAAGAATGGTAACAAACCCAATGAATTCACTCTGGTTCATTTTCGTGAAACCATTCCAATTACATATAATATTAATGGATGGATAAATATGTGTCGTGATGGTATGGCAAAGACAGCAATAGCACTACTCCATGACTCATCCAAGTTAGTAAAATAATGTTAGTTCATAATTTTGTATAGATTTTTTTATGTAAATTTACTTTTTTTCATACAGTATTGATATTTCAACTGTATTCTCCAAAAATCGAGGTGCCGGTCTTACAAGTACACTAGCAATTGTAGACGGAACCCAGTCATTAAGACGTATGTCTAGTATTCGACGAGCTACATTTGGTAGTCTCAGTACTGCAGCGACACTGAAAAGAAAATTAACGAGTGTTCAAATAAGATTTGCGGTGGTTAGTATTACAATGAATAGTTGAATGAGCTATAAATTTTACTTTGTATTATGTGTTGTAATTTAATTTGCTAGGATGGACTAGTTGAAACCTTGCGAAGGACTGGACAGCACTTTATTCATTGTTTTATTGCACAACATGAAGCTGGTTTTACTAACCGCACTGATGTTGCAGCTACTAGAGTTTTTAATTCTATGTATAAACTGCAATCAATCACGCTGAGCCCTAATTCCAATAAGCCAAATCCAGAACCTGTTGACATACCACTTTTAAGACAACAAGTACATTTTACTATTCAGTTTTGAAAAAATTTTTAATTATTTAAATATTACAATATTGTTGTATTTTTTAGATGCGTGGAGCTGATATTTTACCTACTATTCGGTTTTATAAACAAGGATTTCCAATTTCTATGTTTATTGCTGAATTTATTCGCAAATTTGCTGCATTTCTGCCTACTAATTTAAAAACTGATGATTCAAACAACACAATTAAAGATCACCGACAATGTGTTTCTGAGATTATGAGCAAAGCTGATATAGATGAATCTTTGTACAAAATTGGAATTAATCAAGTAAGTAAAATATTATTTATTAATATTCTATACATATTTTAGTAAAACCTAGAGGTTTATAGACTAATACAAAAAATATAGGAATAATTCCAAGTTGTAATTGCGTTTGAATGTTTCTATATGAATGTAAACCATTTTTGATAATATCACACACGTTTAATGTTACAATTAGTTAATAAATGAATATCTAATACTAATACTAGCATGTCTAGCATGGTGTCATACTAGAGCCGGCCTGGTCTGACTTTTACCAAGATTATTGTGGCTGATGCTTAGCCCACCAATCTGGACGTCTTCGGTCAAAAGTATATAGTTTAGTTTTTCTTATGCGAGTTGTGACATTACTAGTAATTAATACTGTATTATAGTTATTACTTGTTGGTTGTTAATATGGTTATTTGTTTGAATTAACCAAATTGTTATTTTTAGATACTCCCTGACACCCTTGCTTACACTAATGTTTGAATAATATAAAATATAAAGTATAATATATAATATAAGTATGAAATATTATTACATAAAGACTATATTATAGTATGATAAATCAGCCAAATTCATAACCAAACACCGAGTACTAACAATTTTATTTATATTATTAATTTTTATATATTTTATTCTGTTTTTTTTTTTTTTAGTCATAACATAAATATTATGAATGTTTTGAGTATTCTTACTAAACAGTAAACACTGTATACATATGGAATGTATATTTTTACTAATTATTATTTATACATAATACATGTATCTAAAAATGTTTGTAAAAGCATGTAATTTAAATTTATATTGATGCTTAATATTTTGTTTTAAAAGTAAATTTTTACACCATAAAAAAAATGGCAATTACTTGACAAGTGTAGAATATTAATAGGGTCTGGTTGTATTGTCTTTTACCAGGTTTCATATTTGAGGCTAATTTTTAGGTGTAAATTATGCAATATTTTTAAAATAATAATTATAGTAATTCATTTTTTAAATAATCAAATTTTTCGACAAGATTAACAAAGAAATATTAAAAAGTATATTTGACAAAATTAGTAAATAATTAGGTAAATATTGTTATTTTAATAATAATTATAAGTATAAAATATGTTTCTTTTTACATTCAGTGATGTGGTGAATAGCTCGCTTTTTATTACTTCACTCTAAAATCTATTCCAGAATTATAACATAAGTATAATAAATAACATTTTTGTAAAAATCAACGATGGTATATTAACATATTGTACAAACTATTTATGGCATTTAAGCATAGAAGCATTGAACTTTAAATGGTAGCTAAAACCATAAGTTGGTTATATTAATTTACTGCATAGCAAAGGGAAATAATTACAAAAAACTGCATTAAATGTTCTAAAGTAGCCTCATCCGTATGACATATTCATTAGGGTTAAAAAAAACATGACTATAATTACCGGAGGTTTGTGCTGCTAACACCTGAAAAAACAGGCAATTAAAATGCTCAATTGTGCAAAAACCAGTCCCTAAACTAAATTATTTTTGTATTAAGAATTAGGTATACACCCAACAATAATTTTGTGTAGATAATTTAAATTTTACTTTTATTAGGTTTTTACTATTTGGTTTTTATATTATTATTATGTAGTATGTAGTATGCACATAAAAAATAATCTGATTTACAACATTTCATTACAATTTATTATCATCTGTTTTAACATTTCAAAGTTGTTTTATGTGAAATTGTGTCTTCTTTCACTCAATACGAGTTTTAGTTGTGAAAACACGCTTTAACTTGGTTTGTAGCAGCTTATAATAATTAATAGCAAGATATATTTTTACATTTACGTAATTTCCATTTAATGAAGCATTGTATTGTTTAAAATACCATCGTATATTCGTATCCAGGATTTTTATCAAACAATGAGTTACATTTTTCATTGAGTATTTACTGTTCGTTTTCATTTCCAATTCGTTTAAGTCCATCTCCTACTTTTTTAACTATATTATAAGCTATTTGAGTTAAATTTACTTACTAGTCATGTGATATCGTCGTTATATTTATTATATCGTACCTATTATATTAGACATAAAAGCCCCATAAGAATGATAACGTAGGTAACACAAATTATAAATTAAAATAATATATTAATATTTATTATGTATAATACCTGTAAATTGTAATAATAGATCATGAACCAAAAACCTTTTTATAAAATATGAATTCGTGAGTTTTAAATTAAAAAAATTGTAATATCCATTTTAATGCAAAAACTCTGTAAACGTTGTAACATCGTTTAAATTAATCTATTTCACTTGATTCGGATTTATAACTTGTTTTTATACTTTTTGGGACACTCAATAAAATGTTGCAATTGCACGAGAATCCGGTCTTAAATTATTATTTTTTACTTATGTTCGTAAAAGAAATTCAGAGATACTTGGTGATTGATTATGGTTTGACTAGATGTCATGTTACTCTTCATAATATTTGCGCTAAGTGTGCCAAGTATCATAATGATAAAATGGGTGTACCTACTCATAATTTGTATACAAATAAATATAATTTTCATATATTAAAATGCTTAGGAAAATGTGCACGTCTTTGTATTTGGCACTTTATTGATAACACCGTTGGCTAACTGTTAAAAGTTGATGGCAAATGTTTTAGAATACATTTCCGAGTACAGTTATAATATCAGTGTGTATATGTATATATATAATAATAATAAAAATAATGCGTACAGTTGTTAAATTAAACATTTTATTACATGAATCTAGGGCTCGGAACTTTATGCGCTCTCAAAATCTATAAAATATGTGCGTATGCACTAAAAAAAAAAGCTCAAATATGCAGTATAATATGCAATAATTTATTTATAAAATATGTGTTTATACAGGAATAAACTAGGAAAAAAGCATAATTATTCATTAACTACGGCATTAATTCCGGTACCGCATTGAGCTATGATTGAATCTGAAGGTAAAGGGATATCCGGTGCGTAATTTTTGAAAATTTGTTTTCGTGATTGTGATTTTTTAATATTTTTTTTTCATTAGCTACAGTTTATCAACAGTACCAAATTGGATCCTATTTCCTCCGAAACTGCGGAGGCTATGATCTTTTTGTAAAAATAATTTTTTTTTATTAAATAAATGTTATATAATACCGGCCCAACCATGACAAATTAACAATTAATACTCGTTAGGTATAGTATTAAAAATTTGTTTGTTGTTACTTGTTATAAACAAAATATGCAACATACCATTTTTTTACTTGAGTTCCAATGCATCATGAAACGAATTTGTATCGTATCAATTTTGAATGTGCCGCTTTCTGAAAAATATACAATTATACTTGATGTTCGTTCCGATCCCTGCAGCTATATTTTATATTATGTTGCTTCGTGTGGTTTATTTCGTTGTATCCATCAATCATTGTATTTGTTATACTTCTAATACTCATGAAATCTAAATTAACTTGTATGTGTATTTATAGAAGAATTTTCATACACATTAGAAACGATTGAATAATTTAATACATTAATTATTAATTTAATTAATGTTCTGAGTTCCAACAATTTTTTTGACAACTGTTTTATTATATAATATTAAATTATTATATGCAGTTTATAATTAAATCTAATTTTTTAGTCAACATCTTGACGAATTAGGGTAGGTACATTCTCAGATATTTACCTTTTTATATAGAAGGTTACAAATTTCACATTACCTGTTGCCTGACGATGGTTTTGTCGTAAGTCGGTGAACGGAAAAGCGGAACTGCCCCATAACTCTGAAAATAATCAAATTTAAAGTCAAATCGTACTCAAATTTAAATTAATAACTACATATCTAATATTTCACGTCTTTACTCAGAAATGTATGTAATACATACCATGTTAGTTATTACCTAAGTTATAAGTATAACCCAATATGTATTGTCGGTTTGGACTTGTCACATTGAAAAATATTTGTTTAGTTACTTTAGATAAATCATTAATAATTATTATGTATATCGAGTATTGACAATGGTATATTATGCAATAATTTATATTGACAATATGAAATAGGCACACCGCACACTTGTGAATCCTGTACATATACTATATTATTATATTATTTATACAGTACTCACTACTCAAAATACATAAAAGTCACATACCTACACTCTTATACGTATATGTAAAATATTCAATAGGTACATAGTATAATACATACAATTAAAATATACAATTGCCGTTTATTCTCGACACTGGATGCCTAGTGTAACGTATCTAAGTTGGAAAGGCTCTTGCAGCATTTTAAAATTTATAATTTTGTTTTATCTAAGAATATGGGAAAAAAATATTATTCGAATACAATATTTAACCTGTTGAACTTTTAATTTTGGAAAACTGACACTGGTAAGTTAGGGTTGTCCGTCACTGCTTTAGACGATCCAGTCATCAGTAACGAGTCCGGTTGATTTGCGACATCAACTTTTGCTCATGTCCCATTTTATATTATGCTTATGTATTCTATTCTACTATTTTACTAATACAATTATAATTTCAGAAATTCCGTAATGCCTATCTGTGCCGCCTCACGGATCTATTTAATATTATAATGTTATATTTTTTTCTTACTCTAGTACTCTATGCCCGACAACCGTTTTAAATGTCCAATATACATTTATAAAACCATTATATTATGCCGCGATGATTCTGCCAGAGAATGATGTGCTATTAACACATAATAATTTGTATACATTGTTAGATGTACAATAATGGTATTAGCGTTCCCACGTTTTATTACGTGTGAGACTGTGTTAAAATATAATAATAGAAAATAGAGAACATTACACTTTTAAATTTAATATGAGCACATGTGTTTGTACTAGTATAGATTAGTGTTTAGAACACCTAAAGTAATTTCTCTAAGTACCTATACATTTTTTAAAAGACTGCACCGTGAGATATTATCTTTGAAAATTAAACATTTTAGTATTTAACGAGTGTGGATAATATTTTCAAGCTTAGATACAATATATTAAATACGACGAATTCGAGTTTAGTTTACTTTTGTGGACGTTTTATTCGTTCAATTTATTACGGGTATGAGTGTAATAAAATAAAAAAATACGTATAGAATTCGTAATCGTAAAAAGCAATGGAAATACTTTGAGTGAAAATTGATAACTTTTTATGTATCAAAAAAAAGAAGAGACGATGACCTTGTCTCTATTATATGAATAAGTGACATAACCACAGTCATGCACGTCTGAGCAATGAGATGAAAAAAGTAAAAATAATTGTATAGACAGAGACACCAAAGAATTGTATATATATTTTGTATAAGACATTATTTTTTTTCCTTTTAAAGTTGAGTATTAGATAATATATATTACTTCTGTAGCTAGGTAGATGTTCTAATTTATATTTATTTTATCATATTATACTAATCATTAACTATTACCATAGGGCAGAGAGTGTGTATAATATACCTATTATACTCAATGCTATTGCCTATTGGCTATTACTAACTTATATGTATAAAATTGTATATTATAATATGTTATAATATTTTGTATATTCAATATTGTATTTACAATAAGTAATAAATAATAACTTAGTGAATATAATTAAATCATAAAAAAAATTATTTACTCAACTCAATTTTAAATTCTACCTTAACAAATTATGTTACTTACTTACTATTTTTATTAAAAAATAATTTCTTGTACACTGTACAGTCGACTAGCTAATAAAAGTTTTAAAATTTTTTTAAACTTGCTCATTGTATTATATAAATGAATTTGAAAAGATAATAATATACAACAGTTTACGTTTTGTCGTACTGATTTCGTTATTAATACCTACCTACATAACTTTTAGAAAATTGTACGTATCTGCTTCATCACTTAATTAGCTTCACTGTATTAGTAATTTGTTATCATATTGTTTTATATCCGTCCTAAAAGCATTACTATTTGCTATGCTACACGCTTGTTATTTTTAAGTTTAGGTACCTAAATAAGGTAATAAAATCCGGGCAGCACGAATTTAGCAAGTTCTAATTTCCGTATAGAGTTAAGCATCGATGATTTTATCATTCGTGGTTAATTTTTTCAAATAATCAATACATATAATATGCATGCATTAAAAAACTTCGATGAAAATAAATTACTATACCGTCGTAGTACTATACCTGTCTGTTAAATTGGTCAACTTTTTTCTTTAAATTTCTTTTATGTGTGTTCGATTAATTTTCAAGATAATTATTTAATAAGATAACATTAGACATAATGTACTTTATTGGTACAGTTCGACAATTTTGAATGTTAGTTGTGTGAATCACAATTATTATAATTTATTCTACAATTGCTTATACATTAGGTATACAAACAGCAGGTTGATTTTTTCTCTTCCTAGTTAGATATTGACATCATTAAAATGTTTTATTACTCCCTATAAATAACAGTTTTATTAAAGTAGAATAAATAAATATTTATAATTTTGTTCTAAAAGAATTTTCCATTTCAATATAATTGTGAAGCAATTTTCTTGGATTATTTCGTGTATAACGTCATTACAACTAGGTATTTACTATGCTTGTAAGGCGTTAATTTTAACAATTTAAAAATATTCTTATAATAATATATAAATTAAAAAAAATTATTTAATATAAGTTCAGTCGATTAATATATATAATGCAGCCACTGTGTTTATATAATATATTCTGCGTCTGTACGTTTCAAATAATCGTTATTTATCTATAGCTAGTATCTATCATATTTATACCTAAATAGACTTTTACAAAAACAAATTGAAAACAACTTCGGCAAACACCGGAGAAGAAACAAACTCGCCCTAATTAACCGTTTACGTCCCTTATTCAATAAAATGTTTTAGGTTATTAATCGGAAAATAAAATTAGATCTTTGAACCTGCAACTATAATTTATTGTCAACCTTATACTATTTATCGTCTCGGACACATGCGTTCATATTAATTATTACTCTCCCATATATATTATAATAGTTTACATCTACGAATGAAGAATCGCAGGCTGTTTGTATCACCACAGTCACTTCTTAAGTAGTACAAAAAAATTCAAGAATTGTAGTAAATTGTCCTTGAGTATATTTAGTCATATTTAAGTCGTCGTTAAAAATAAATAAATAAATATTAACAACGACGACGCTTTGGTTAAACGTTATATACGGCGCCGTAAGTTTCTATCAGTTTTGGGTCAGAGGGAAATCGTGTGCGATCGCGTAGGGCGTCGATTTCGACCGCGAAGAGCTTTAATGACGTTCCTCCTGCAGTTGTATGTATGTATGTATAGGCATAATACCTATTTATACTGCCGGCGTACCTACTCTCGGGTCGCGTACTAGATTTACGAAAAACAAAACGCGCATTCCTCGGCAATATTCGACTTTCCAACTGTATTTACACACCTCTTATAATACGTGTGCGTGCACGACGTGTATGACTTTAGGTCGTCGAAATAACTCGTTTCGCGGCTCAAGGCGTGGATATTTCCCCCCTGCCCATTCGTAAGCTTATAGCATCGGGGGGATGTTCTGCAGCGGAAATTATCAACGTTTAATAGCACCTTTTGGCGTACCTGTATATAGGTAAATATGATAGATATATATATATTCGCTACAGGAATGTCACGATTTTTTTCCACGCGTTATTATTATTATTATTTGGCACGACGATTGTTGAGTATTATATACAATCGTCGCGGTACCAATTATACTATATATATATATGTGTGTGATTATATATATTATATACCTAATACCTTTAGTCGTCTATTATTATTATTATTATTATTATTATTATTATACGCACTCGTTGGTCATTATCTCGCACGACGCGTATGAAGGTCGTCGTTCGGGCGCGAAACCAGTTTTCGACGTGTGTACGACTCGCGCTCGTGAATGGACCGAAACGGCGCATCGGCGGCGGCGGACGTCCAGCGAGAGACATTGGCCGCGGCCGCCGGACACACGGACAGTTATGTCGATTTGTCCGGACGCGCCGGATGTGTGGTTGTCGATGCTCGTGTCGAATACGCGCGATATGTCACGCATGTGACACTACATACTGCAGTGCCGCTGCTGTTGTTATCGTTATCGTTGTTGTTGTTGTATGATGTGTCGCCGTCGTCGGTCTGTGTCTTTCTTATGCCGGTAGTGTCACCTCGACGTCAGTGGCAGTGGTGGTGGTGGTGTTGTTCGTCGCTGTTCGTGGTGCCGGTACTGTTGACGCAGTGGCCGTCGTCGCTGGATCGCGTCGTCCCGTTGCTGCTTGCATACGCACTCATGCCGCCCGATCATGTGGCCGTTGGTGGCCGAGGAGGTTCCCGTGTGCGTGAGACGAAAAAAGCGTTGCTCGGCCGGTCACGATTGACGTCCGCACAGTTGCGTTCGCCGTTCGTCGCCTCCGCCGCGGGTTCTTCTGCTTGTGCCGTCGTCCCGATCGTGGTCAAAGGGACAGTATCCAAGATTACCGAAAAGTTTCAGGCGCAACCGCCGCCAGCACCGCCTCCGCGCACCCTAACACGGATACCCAAACCCTTGCGCACGCCCGATCGCGGAGTGGTGGTCAAGCCAGTACCGCCACCGTTGCCTCCACTGCCGCCGCCTGTCGTCAAGTACGAGATCAAGAGGCGACAGGAGAAACTGTTGGGCGAACTGCACCGCCGCCGCGGCCTCCCGGGAAATCGGCCGACAACCGCATCATCGTTTTCCGGTCGACTTCCAGTCGGCGGAGGCGGGGACAGCGCAGTGTCTTCCGATTGCGGCAGCAGTTCCGACTCGGAGAAATCGGTTTGTTCCGGTGGACTGTCGATCGACAAACCGGACGACAAGCCCGGCTCGCCTCACAGTTCGGGGTACGAGTCGGTCGAGGAGACGATGACTATATCCGCGTCCGCGGCGGTACCCTACTCGTGGGTGTTCGGTGCCCCTGAACCTCACGACGGTTTCGATGGACCGTCGCAACTGTTGTCCGTCACGACTCCGTTGGCGCCGCCGCCGTTGTCCACGTCGTCGTCGGCTTCGTCCGACGGCTGTTGCGAAGGCGACGATGACGACGACGACGAAGACGAAGACGACATTCTGACGGCACCGGAAGACCGACTCGAACGGTTGGTGACGTTCGCCTCGGCGAAGTCTTGTCCCGCTTTGACGCGCGCAAAGCCGGACCAAGACGACGACGAAGACGTGCCCGTGGTGGTCATTCGCCGTCATTTCGGAGGAGGAAATGACGGACCGAAGCCGATCGCTGCCATGGCTGGATACCTGTCACCAATACCAGAGTGTTCGTCCACTGAACCGAACAGCGTGGAGACCGTTGAGGACTGTTGCGGTTACGACGACGACAAGGTTGGGACTCCCGTTTTTCGGCGATATATGAAACGAATTTTTACATGAACGCGGGATGAAAAAAACTCGTATAATATAATATATAATATGTGCATTGTGCATGCTTAAGAGGACGCCGCCACACGCCTCAATATAAATTGTTTGTGGAGACCGTTTCTCGCGAAAAAAAAAACCACTTGGTGAGCGCTTCAGTCACATTTGAGAAACCAAATTTATGTAAATTATACAGAAGACAAAACTCACTGCTATACCAAATTAATTTTCGTTTTTCAAAATGCACTTTTACTTTAGTGTTACTAAAAATTTAGATTAAAAATTAATTTCTTATACTACAGATAAAAAACAAACAGATTCTAAAATTGTTTCAAAATTAAAGTATATATTTTTTCTTTTGCTAATCGCGGGTCTATAGCAACACCCCTAGAATTAAAAATATTCAAATTATTTAAATTTCTTTAAAATTGCCTATATATTACCCCTTAAAAGTGTGTGTGAGACTAATGTCTATTCTATTCGCACGTATACGGTAAAAAAAAAAAAATTTACAAAAAAAGATTTTGTTAGTTGGCAACATGCCTGCAATCAATACATAATACGGTTAAAATTGTTTTTTCTTGCACTCTATAGACCTATAGTGTCTGAATTCGGTGAACGTTCGCTTTCTGCTAATAATATATACATATACCTACACATAAAATACTGCGAACTTTTAAAAAGCAAGTTTCTGCATCCGTGACGCTTTGGAGGCATCTCTACGTATCTAATATGTATACAAGTATTTGGTTTCGAGTGTAGTCTTGGAATTTTTGTATAGAACAAGTGTACAAACCCGCTGCGCGTGTGGCGTAATGTACCCTCAAAAAAAAAAAACATTACATTTTTACGTTTATGACGGCAGATGCACATCATTGCAATGTGTTGCACTACTCCCTCGCCAATCCTCGAATATGTGTGATTTTTCCGCTCCCGAGATGCGTTTCTAAACGACACTTTATTTTTTCGGGGTCATTGAAATTTTAATATTTGCTCTCCTTATATGATATCTTGTTACAATAAAATACGCACAAAATGTTGACGGAAACGCAAACATATTATATTATTCTATACGCGTGCAGATTGATATTGGTGTCCGTTGTTTTTTTTATCGATCCGCGTGCCAGAACAAATATGCAATTTCCCGTTATGCCGCATCGGCTGGATTAATCTGGACAAAATAAAAAAATACAAACTGGTTTGCCGGTCTGTTTAAAAGACGTGCACTATAATACAGAAGAGTCGGACGTCGTTTATAATTTATTCACAGCTCGTACCATGAAAACACATATTTTACAATATATAGGATAAAATGCAATAATCGTATAACGTATAATATGTGTAGTGCATATTATAACGGGGCTCGCGTGTATGTTGCAAATAATTGTGCTAGACGGTTGTCCGGCTGCAACGCCAATTTCGTATATTATGAATTTAGGTTGAGAGCATTCGGTAATGCGGGAAAAGGCATCGTTAAAATAAAAACTCTCATGGTCGATCGATTTGTTATTGGATAAGTAAGTTTACCTAGGTATATCTTTCATAACGATTCGAATGGTAAATCGCCGAAATAATATTACATAATTTACTATCGACGAAGAAACGTATAGGACACAGGTCCTACATTAAAACTAATAGCGGTTTTCAACGATTTCTTGTAGAAATAAATAATAATATTATTTTCTTATTTATCTTATAGGGTGCCGAATACGTATCCCATTATATTATACGTATATTATTATTTATTTATCAGTTAAAAATTGAAATTTTAACTTTGATTCTTGTCATACACTCATACCTATATTATATAAAATACCCACGATAAAATCAAATGAATAAATTACAAAAATATAAAATACTGGCTTGTGAGTATTTTGTCTTTAATTACCTATAGGCACTTACTCTTTTGACAGGTATTTATAAATAAAACAATTACAAAGTAAAGTCAAGTGTACATAATATTATACTATTATCGCTTATTCCGTCATACGTGTTGTTTTAATCGTTTTATATTGCTGCATTAAATAATTATGTTTTATCATAAATAACATTGAAACACTATTATTACATTCAGCAATTAATAGTCCTTTATGACAGACTAAGTTATACAATAATTAATGTAGTAGGTGCACACAGTGACACAACTCACCCGTCGCACATATTCATACACCGATTACCTTTTGAGCAAACTATTTATGATAATCGATAGGTATAAATATGAGTGTTCTACAGTTACCTATTGAAGTCAGTGGCGTATTTAGGAATTTGTCATGGGGAGGGTCCAGATAATTTTCAGAACACAGAGCCACGGGGGACGAAGCCCCCCACACCACCCATTTACTCTTTATTAAATAAAATATACTATATTTATAAGACGATATAAAATTGTCGAGTTTTTAATTATTAAATAATAATAGGTATGTACAAAACAAATTTTAAAAAAAACGGGTGAGTAGATGTCACTCTGCTGCTGTACAATAGGTTACAAGTGGGTCAATGTATAATGGATTGTATTAAACTTGAACTCAATGATATAATATCATAATATCATTGTATAAGAAAAACGATTCTGAGCGAAGACGGTTTGTCAGTCTGGATATTTTATATTGTTATTATTTATTATAGCCTGTAAGTTGAATTAATAATGAAAATAATGAAATACTTTTATTTTTTATTTTTTTCTATAGTGATAGACAAAGTGTTAGAAATAAAAATTCGTAATTCGTAGTTTTTCGTAATTTTTTGGTGGTTTTTACAGTGGCATTACATAACTATTGAGAAAATCGAAAAATTACCTCTCTAAAGTACTATCTTGATCCAATTTTCTAAAAGATAAGTTACTATAATATGTCTATACATGTTGAAATCGAAGCACTCCTTCTGGAAGAAATTTTGTATACAGGAAAAAAAAATAAACACCATTGTAGAACCAATAGATCCCTCAGAATCGAATATATAGTTATATGTTATAACTTTTATACAAATATTTCCTTAATTACATTAGGTACCTACTTCATTCATAGTTGATCTTAGATAGCTTTTCAACCTTAAAAAGTTTGAAAAAGATCTCTCTGGAGTGGTTGTGGATACTGACAATGTACAAAACTACAAAATATTTGAGTTAAAAAATGAATTTGGTATTTTTCAACCATTTTCGGTACCCAACTGATAAAAATAATCACGATATTTATTGAAAATGTTGATATAACTATAGCTTCGAAAATTTTTTATACAATCCGTAAAATCGTATGATAAAATTAGTTTTTAATCATGTAAAAACTGCACAACATTTAACATGTACGAGACACGAGTCAATGGGAGGGGTCCGGACCCCATGGACCCCCCCCCCCCCGTAAATACGCCACTGATTGAAGTAACGAAATATGTATAAATATTCAATTCTAAACCACAATATGTGAATGTTCTATTACACCGCAATATTCAACAACATTTTAAATTGTGTCTATAGAAATATTTAGTTGGAAATATTATAAATATATATCTAATAATTTTCTATTAAAATAATCCATTTTTAAATATTATAATTTCCATCGACAAAAGAACAATACATGCATATTATATCATAATAGGTATACTCCCAATAATTTGAATTAGAAAATTGATACACATATTCAAGCTAAGAGGTACCACTAAATATTTCAGTTCGATGACATTGTATTGAAATGGGATTTTCGCTGAATGACAGATAGTACTTAAATATACATTTTCAGATAAATTTCAAATTTTTAATACTTTCGATACGCGCATGCGCGATACAACTTACTTTTTTTTAGATGGTAATATCATTTTTTTACATATTCGGATAGAGTATTTTTTTTAAACAATTTATGTACAAAAAGTTTTTTTCTAATTAAAAAATTTACATATGAAATTTAATATTTTAATATTTAATGTTTAACGAACAGTAATTATAGTTTATACTATATTACCTACCATCTTAATTACCGACAAATGTTGTCAAAGTTATTTTTACTATTTCATCTGTACGCAAACAGGTATTTAACAATATTGGATATTAATAAGTAAAAATAAGTTGAATTCAGCTTAAATTTCGTCTAAGACAAATTTTAATTTACTCGTAAATATTAAATTTCATCGTTAAATTTCATATGCTAATTTGCAATTAGAAAATATTTTTTTTACATAAATTGTTAAGTAAAAATACTCTATCCGAATATGAAAAAAAAAAATTATGTTACCATTTAAAAAAAATATAAGTTCTATAGCGCGTTAAAAATTTGAAATTTATCTGAAAATGTGTATTTAAATACTATCTGTCATTCAGCGAAAACCCCATTTTAATACAATGTCATCGAACTGAAATATTTAGTGGTACCTCTTACACACTGTATATATATTTCGATTTCGATTTCTACATTATATGCTGAGTAGATGATAGTAATATTTACGTTGCTGAAATTGACATTAAATAACCGTATTCGGTATAAATACAGCTATGAGTGAATGATAAGCATTACGCTGTACCTAGCTATAAAAAAAAAACATACGTCGTACATGTTATAACTTCGTAAAAATATATAAAACCTCTCATCAGTTTTCAAAATATCACTTATATTAGTTGAAATACTTATATTGCTGACATATTCCTACTTATAAATAAATCCTACTTGTAAATCGTATAACGTGGTGTTAAATAGATGACGTTCGTAATTTACGTTGATAAATTACGTATGTTGTGTTTACTAGTTGATTTGTTGATTAGTAAGTGCAGTGAATATATTGTGATTGCCAACGATACATTCAAAGTTATTAGTAACAAATACATTATTTTTACACAATTTAAAGATACTTTAGGTGTTTGAGTTGTTCATTCCGATACATAAGTTCATAAATAACACACAAGAAGCCCACATCCGTGTAGCCGTGTAGATCTGGTTTTCATTTTCTATAATATGTGACTTGTCTTTGTGTCAATAAAACATTATGTAGCCCTGAAATTATAACCGTTTAATTAATGATATTAGAACGGCATAAACCCCATCACATTCAGTGTTTTGTAATAGTAAATCAGGAGATACATATAAAGGGATCGGTTGCGGACAGTTATAGTTTAGCCAAAACATACCAATCTTTTGTCCATAATACTGATAAACCTATAGTAATGCGATGATACTTTTTAAAGCAGATTTAAATTCGTTATTATGTCTACTTAAGTTCGGTAAGTTCATTTTTCCCCATTTTACCCCACCTCCTCCCAACAACTATACATTTAACTTGAATATTTTGCGTTTTCGGAATATTTTTGATTATTCGGTATTTAAATCAGAAATCTTAAAATGTGGACTGACCGATCTAAAGTAGACATAACGAATTCATATAAGTTTTCTGAAATATTATCACATTATCAAGTTGATTGATGGACAAAATGTACATACAAATGAGCATAAATTGTTTACCGTTCACGGCGGTGACTTGTTCGTGTGCGTGCGGTAGCGCTCCGTTATTTCTTTTACACATAGTCACACACACTAATGATCACTTATTACGCACACATTTACAAGACCTGCATGCAAGAAATTTGAAAATTCTCTATATTGAACTCCTCTTAAAAACTGTACTCCACCGATCCCTTTAAGTTTGGAATAAAGGTTAAAAACTTAATAAACTCTAAAATATTAATTTAATGCTCAAATCAGAGTTTATGTTGAATGGTATGATATACGTAGTTCAATGTATATTTGTTTCTTTATACGGCTGTGTAAAAACTTCACATTTATTTATTACACATACCTAATATCTATCTTAAATTTAAACTAAAAATTAATATTTAAAATTATATTATTATGACGGTAAACATGTATAATTACTGTTTTAAAAAATTATTAGCTTAGTATCGTATTTACGTATTTAATTATTTGTATAAATATATACTTTTATACTTCACTATTGGTATGGAAGATATTAATACAATATTATTATTATTTATTACAATTTGGTTTTGTACCTAATTATATATCCACCTATTAAAAAAGTCGGACAGGATATGCAGAGACCTGATTTTGAGCACTCGGTCCACTTCGTTCTCTTTGGTTCTCGATTGTGGTGTGTTATTAATTATTACATTTGAATGAAATAATAAAAAATAGTAGTAGTAAGAAAACTGAGATCGGATTATTATTAAGTTTATGGTAGTATCCAATATGTGACTTCTGACTACCTATTTAAAATTTTTAAAGTTACGCATAACAAGAATTAATGAATCATAATAATGATAAAACATTTTAAATGTTATTTGAGTTTAATAATAATTAATATTAGAATGACAAGTTTGAAATGTTAATAGGTACATAAAGATATTATAGAAATGCAATTAGAAGACATTTAAAAAAAATTGAATCACGCATACAATAAAAAATTTCTCTGTTGAACAAATGTAAATATAAAAAAAATTCAAATACCAACCTTCTATTTTATCATTTTGAATTATTATGATTAAAATAACTAATGTCAAAAGTTTAAATAATAAGGCCTGAAAAATAAAACTTGATTCATCAAAAAAAAAAATTGTGGTGGACAATTTTCAAAAGTTTTACTTTTATTTTAGTTATAATAATTTATGGTCAATCTTCAATTCAAATTGCACGTCTTCGAGATAAAATTGTACTAAAAAATATTATTTCAATTGGTTTATATAATAATAAAACAAAAAGATTACGTAAAATGTCCAAGTTTATATAATGTTTAATTTGAAAATAATTTTAAATGTCGCCTTAAATAAATAATTTGTGAAAAAAGTCTAGCGAAATTATCAAAATTTATCACGTTAAAACCATTTTTATTCCCTTTTTTTAATTCGCTGGTAAGTTTTTCTTACACAACGAATACTTATCAAAAAATAATCAAAAATCAATACATTTCTCGTAATATTTATTTAAAAACGTATATAGTAAAGCAATATTTGTGATATGCTTCAAATTCATAAAAACATTGAGTAGATATTTCATTTGCCTCGGGCATAGATAAGACATGTTAAAAATATTTGTTTTACTTCACTGAAAATTTTTGATTAAAACATAAGTTTATTTATTTAAAATTTTAATAATTATAAATTATAAAATAAATAAGATGTTATTATATGTATTTCTATTGATCATTTATGAATGGTGATCATTGAATTTTTGGTTTTTTTTTTATTATTTCAACGTTACGATTTGATTATATTTTTATGTCCACAATATAATCATGTGTACTTCACTTATTTATTTTACTTATTTATTTAGGTACATACAAATACTGGTTAAGTATTGAAAATATTATCTTGCTTCACTATACAATGTGAAACACATGTGGAAAAAGTAGTTTTAAAGTCTAAAAATATTTTATCTAATAGGTACCTATATATTATATGCATATAAATTTACCTACATTATTCAGTGTGAATTAATCATAAAGTGCTATACTAGAAATTTTGTAACCAGATAAATGTTTTTTTTTTTTACTTCATGGTTTACATTCTTATCATGTCAAATATTCTAGGTATAGTTACCTATTCGTTTACATAAATGTGCTGAATGCACCATGTACAGTCGTACAATTATTTATGACTGGTTTAACGTCGTTGGTTTTAAAGATTAAAACAATTTTTGTTTTACAAAAATATCACGAATACTTCTTGATACAGGTTTAAAATAATACATGTAACACAAATTATCACGTACTATATTATACTAGAAAATAACTAATATTTCTTTGTGTGTTTGAAACATTCAAATGTGTAATAATCGTTTAACTTTTATTTATTTATTTATTTTTATCAGATATTTTTCCGTGCCAATGTCTTACAAACTCTCGAAACTCAGCGAGACGAAAAGTTATCTGGCATCTTTACTCAATTACAAGCCCGTTGTCGTGGATATATTGCTCGAAAAGACTACGCTAAACGAAAAGTAAACGACATCGCTGTACGGTGTATACAGCGAAATGTTAAAAAGTTTATGGTTGTAAGAGATTGGCCATGGTGGAGGCTGTTGGTCAGAATTACACCTTTGCTTAACGTCCATCGGACCGAATACGAACTGAAACAAAAATCTGTGAGTACCTATACGCTGAAAATGAAATTTTTCGCCCGTAATTTATTTATTATTTTAAATCGTCTTTCATTTTCTAGGACGAACTGGAGCAACTGAGGAATAAAGTGGACAAGTTGGAGCAGGAACGGTCACAGTTGAAAATGGACAACGACAGACTCGAACAGAGAGTAAGTAGTAAATTCTTCAAACTTTTCGATCATGTATTTTTTGCATTTAAGTATTTGCCGTTTGGTAATTGGTCTCCGGCCAAACGCATTTAATTTCCTCTCCCGGGGCCGGTCTATTTTTATGCGACCGATATTTTAAGACGAGACCGAGTATAACAACAATAGACGAACTCTTGTTTCATTCAACTGACCAACACTTCCTCAAACATTGCTCATTTAACGTTCTCATACATTCCCGTAACAACAATGTTCACGCCGGCTTTAATGAGAAGACGATACGGCCTAACGCCGTCGCGATCGGTTTCGCGTTCTTTATCGCCGTTATCATACCGGTCTTGTCACTCCACCACAGAACATAGGTCAGAATTTAACGCTAAACTTCTCGAACTCCTCCACGAGAATAAGGTCTATGGCTGCCATTTCAGTTTTCAGTAAGTTACATGCATTTAAAATATATTCTTACGTTGTGTTTTTAGTTGGCGGAAACAACTGGTGACTTAGCCGAGGAGCATTCCACAGTAACTATGGTGTCTGAGCGGTTACAGTTTGAATCGGCTGAAAGACAACGTCTAGAAAAAGAGCTACTGGAGACACAGACCGTCAAGAACCGGCTGGCTGAAACTAATGAACAATTAGAAATGCAGCTGCTGTGCATGAGGTCCACTGATCCTTCATTAATGTCATCGTCGTCATCTGTAGCCGGAACAATGAGTGACGACGATAGTGCTGTAGTGAATAGCGATAAGGGTGACCAGTATTATAGACGACGATATGAACGCGTTTGTCGTGAATTAGAGTATGCTAAGAAGCGATTACAACAACAGCATAATGACGACATGGAGCAACTATTGGCCATGAAAAAACAGCTTGAAAAAAAAGTGAGTACCTATTCATATATTTGATTTATTTTTCACCCAAGACGATAATTAAATATATTTTTATGTGTACCTACATTGCATATTTGCACATCGCACATTAATGATAATAATGATGATTTTTAAGTTGGCTGGTGTTTACGAAGACGTAGAAGAACAACGTCAAATTGTTGCCCAGTGGAAACGAAAAGTTAATAAGCTGAATTCTGAATCAAACGACCTCAAACTTATGTTGGAAGAAAGCAACTCAAGAAATAATTTACTCGAAAAGAAACAAAAGAAGTAAGTTTAGAAATATTATCTTACGAATAAATATTTAAAGAAATAAAATTGGACATTATGCATCATGTATGATACCTATATGTAATAATATAATTCTATAGATTGAAATTACAATGCCCATTTATGATTATAACCTGAGTGTTACACGATTGATTTATTCATAAAAAAAAGTGTGTAGATTAATATTAATTAGTTCTTATCGGATTAACGGTATACAATCGCATGATTTGATTTAGTTGTACAACATGAATTCTTCAATATTGTATAATTTATACGAATAACTATTTTAGATTCGATACAGAGTTGCATTCATTACAAGAGGAATTAAAAAAAGAAAAAGCTCAAAGAGAAAAAATTACCAGAGAAAAAGACATGGCCATGTCGGATAAATTTTCAATGGAGCAAACTTTAAGTGTAAGTTTCCTTAGAGATACGACTAATAATCAAATTAATAAATAATTTTTTTTTTCAATTTTAGAGTGTCAAGTTGGAGTTGGAGCTTAAGGAACAGAAAGTCGTCGGCTTGAATCGCGAACTACAGGAGTTGACGTTTAGCGGCAACACCGAGGAAGAAGTCGCAGCACTCAAGCGATCCAAACACCAGCTAGAGAGTAAACTCAAAGACCAAGAAGAAGAACTTGACGATCTAGCTGGCCAGGTGCAGTTACTGGAACAGGTGAAAACTCGTCTGGAGATGGGACTCGAACAGGAAAGGAAGGAACATCGAAGAGAGTTGGCTCAACGCGAACAAGAGAACGAGGAGACTCGGTGTTCGGCTGCCAAAAAGATCAAGGCGCTGGAATGTGAGATCGAAAACGAGCACGAAGAGAGGACGGCGCTGATCCGGGAGCGTCATGACCTAGAGAGACGGCTGGTCGACTCCGAGGACAGGGAACGATGTCGGAGCATGAACGACCAGGAATCGATTGCCCGTCTCCGTCGGGACATGAAGAAGCTCAAGGCGTTGCTTAGGGACGCACAAACGGTGCAAGAACAACGGAGTGACAGCCAAGCGAACCGCATAGCTATGCGGCAGTTGAGAAATCAGCTGGAGGACGCGGAGAGCGCCAGGGACTCGGCACTCAAGGCCCGGTCTCTAGCTGAAACTGATCTGGCAGAGGTGACTGCTTCGTTGGACGAAGCGCAAGCGGCCAAACGTGCGGCCGAGGAGCGCGCTGCCGGTCTGGCTCGAGACAAGAACCACCTACAGGGCCAGCTGGATGAGAACGAAGAGGAGCTGGCCGAGGTACTGAAGAAGTACCGGGGTACCGTGCAACAGCTGAGTGCCGAGCAGACGGTGCAACAGGAACAGGCAAGTCGCATCGCCGAGCTGGACACGGACCGGGCCAACTTGCAGGAGCGGCTGGCTGAGCTGACGTTCCGGTTAGACAACATGGAGACGCACGGTGACCCGGCCGGATCGCTGAACCTGAAGCGGCTGCAGCTCCGGGTCACCGAGCTCGAGTCCAAGTTGCAGCTGGAGCTGACCACCCGGACCCGACTGGAGGTGCAGATAGCCCGGCTGAAGGAGACCGTCGACCGGTTGGAGTCCGAACGAGAGACGGCTCAGTGCAAAGAGAACGCCGCACAGGAGACGGTGCGCAAAATGCAGCGGTCGTTGCGGGAGGCCCGGGAGTCGATGGCCGAGAAGGAGTCCCGGGAGTCAGCGGACGTGAACCGCAAACGGGCGCTGGAAAAGCGAGCCGAACAGGCAGAGGCTGAGGTGAGCACCGTCAAATCTGATCTGGCGCTGGCGCTGCAGCGCATCGACGACCTACAGGCCGCCATGACTGGTGATCTGGATGACGATGACGATGAGTTCCGGTCGAGCAGCGATGATGACGACGACGACGGTGGGGACGGCGATAGCGACGATTCGGTAACCACGTTCTTAGCCAACCAGGGCGCGAGGAACACCACGATCCTACAGCAGCAAAAAGTGAGTTGTTTTTATTTTGGCCATCAAACTCGGAATGTATACTTACCTATATGTTGAGCTCCGTTTTTTTTCACAAAAATTAAATCATAACTGCAGTTTTCATAATTTTAATACCATATATGTAGTTGATTCTTATCCACTTTCCTAGTGCGATTTGCGCAAGCTAATTCACGTCAAATATTAAAACTGTTAACTTATCCCCCTAGTGTTTTAAAATAATAGTCATGTTGGACATTTTTAAATATATCGACATTTCAAATTATTGTTGTTGATAAACGTTATGTGCTGCATTGTGTTGAATGTTGATTTATAAAATAAAATTTGTAACATGTGTGTTTATTTACATGCTTTATTTTTGTGTGTTACAGAACGTGGATCCAAATAATTGATGACTAGTAAATTTCCTGAAGAGTTTGCACCAAAGTATTAATTAAATACAATTTTATTATAAATCATGTATGTAAAACAGTTACTTAATAGTTAATTGTGAGTTATATTATTATTATTATTATTATTATTTATATTTATATTTAAGCGCCCTATACATAAATATGATTGTGATTTACTGATTTTTCCTACCCCTCTGTAGCTCTCTAATTATTCCCTTTCCCAGTGTCTTCCATCAATCGTATGTGTGAACGCACTCGTGGCTAAAATCGTATTCGTTAATAACCCGTCCACCGACGCAATAAAAGATTTTTTTATGTTCACTGACCTATTTATAATCTTTTGTACTGATTTTACAAAATTTGTATTGTATTATGTAATAAAATGTTATAATTTTTTTCTTATTGTCATGTGTAGTATTAGCATTTACGTGACTCCCGAATCATGCACTATCGGTTACAGTTTTACCAAATAGAGTGGGTGCCTGCTCAAACAAAAACATAGATACACTCGCAGTGCGCTTTTGATTTGATAATAGTGTAGACGTGTAGTGCTGATGACTAATCGATTAATGTATCTCGATCTCAACCATATACAAATCACTAGGGTTCGGATTTAAATGACCTAAAAATAAAAATAATTGCCCTTTCAAAAAATTAATTCATGACTTATAACTATGAAAGAAGTCCTAAAAAAAAATCCCTGTAATTCACCAAGGAGTTCTTCAGAAATCAAAATATTTTTGTATATCGTTTTTTTTGTTAAAAAACAGATTACCTTATGTTTGAGTACAACTTGTGTGTTTAATATTTATATATTATATTCATAGGCGCAATTTGGGGGAGGGGAACTTGGAGGGGTTTTCCTTTCGAAAAAAATGTATTTTAATTTAAGTATTAAATTCTTTATTAACTATCCAATATGGGTACTAATATGATATACTAATTTGAAGAAATTATTGCATAAAGTTTAAAGAACGATTCATTATTCACGTGTTTTCGATAGTATATAATCGGACCCACCTACAGAACATAATAAAGGTTTAATAATAGTATTACAAATTATTAATTACCATATATATTATATATTACTGATAAGTGAGTAAGTGATAACATTTAAATATGTCAAGAATATAATCAATACTTGATAGAAGTATTTATTTTTATAAATTTCCAATTTCAGTTACAATTGTAATATAATATTTATAAGTGACTAAATGTTGTAAATTTGTATAAAAAATATTTTTCATAAGTATTAGCACTTAGCAGTAATAGGTGGTTGTATACAGTATAATTATAATATGTATTACATATAGAAGTGGTTCAGAAAAAATATATATTACTTATGTTATTTAATATTAAAATAAAGTAATTTATATTTTAAAAGTATTTAAACATGGGGTGTGGGGGGCCATCCACGGGTCTGTTGCATTTAAATATGTAAAGCTTCTTCCAAGTGAATAACTGAAATTGCGCCTGTGATTATATTTATTTGTTTAGGTGATATTACTAGAAATAGGTTCAAAAATTACCTAAAAAAAAATAATAATGCCCTAAAAATTTAGAAGTGCACTTATAAACGTCAAAAAACTCGAAAATTACAAAAACCGCCCCTTAAAAAGTTCGTTGTTAACATAACGTGTGTACTTGTAAAGTTGAAACAAATTTGTATCTTGGAAAACATTGTGTCAAGCATTCCAGAATGCATCGAAATCCGAACCTTACAAATCACATAAACCTATTCACAGACATTTAGAAATTCCAATTGACATTGCCGTACTATTATACTATGTTTCTTTTCAATGTAGGGCACCAGGCACCAGCGACCAGGTATCCTTGTGTAAGAAAACTACACGAGTTGTGAAGTATTAAAAAACGAAGAATTTGAAAAAGTTGCAAGCCATCAAAATATTTCTAAGTTTTATTATATGTACCCACCAAATATTTACCAAATTAAATGGAGAATTGTGTAAATAAAATATTCAAATTACATTTTTTAACACTCGTTAAATTATGTCATATTTTGGTTCAATTTTAGATTCATATTGTGTTCTTGCGATTGTATTTGGTTTTTAATAAATTCTGTTATAAAAAACTAACAAGACAAACATAAAAATAAAGTCTTTAGGCAATAATTGATTTTATTGATTTTATTCTGTAATATTATGGACTTAATAATTAAAAAAAAATAGAAATATTTTCAGGTAACTTAACTTCTGTCAAATTTATAGAAGCTGTTTAAACTTTAAAGTTTATTGCTGTTGAAAACGGTTATCTAATTTTACATTCTTGTTTACTGACATGGTATAGGACATGAGTAGTTCAGTAATTGTATTGTCAGACTTCGGTAGACAAAATTTATTTGAATATTTGATAAATTCTTTATTTTTACGATATCTGTACTAAATCTTAAATGGAATCACTATAAATTATATTTGATATTTATATGTTCAATTATGTTGTCATAGAATATATTATACAAATATAAAAGGGTGGCAAGTATGGTCGATGAATCACCCTCTTGTTTACGGTGTTGTTTGGTTTCTAGTTCAGTTAAAATATTATATTTTTACCACGAAAATCGCACCCGGTTTAATTTCCTGATAACGATACATGTGTTATTTTTTTGTGAATTTGTAAATTTTTTCTGGTAAAGTGTACAAATAGATCTATAAAACCCCTCATACATACAGTTAGAAATTTGTTGTTGATTTAACATTTCACTGAATTTGTCAAACAACTAAATTGTAAACTATTTAGGTCTACAGGTCTATGTATACTGACATCTCTATAATGTATAAGAGTATATATTATCAATTATGCAGGTATTCTAATCAGATACATTAAAGGGAAATAAAACTGACGGATGCCAAGGTTGAGCAGTTTACGGTTATTTGTTTTTGAATAACCTACACCCAGTGACGGCGATCCTATACAGTCCATGTCTTGCTTTAGCAACACATAGACAATTTGGTCGGTTGGTGGGTGGGTGATAATTTATTATACTATGACCAAGTAGTGTAACATAATTAAAGCAAAACAATACTTTATACAAGTTTTGAAATAAATATTTATTAGAAGAAAACGTCGCATTTATATTCTTATTTATATTAATTATCCAACTAGTAAATTATAATCAAAATAATACCTACACATACTGTACATACTTTGATTCTTGATATTTTAGATTCGGAGTAAAGCAACAGGTACTTCGCCAACACCTCAGTGCGAAAAAAAATTAATACATTCTAATTTTTTTTCTTCATTAACGTATAGATTGCCATTTAATTAAATAGTATAGCGCAGTTTGATGTGTCAACATAATCACATTCCTTTTAAAAATCTAAGTAACATAAACGTCGCTTTAAAAACTGTTTTCAAACCCTTTCCTAGTTAGAACAAACATTTTTGCAATTTGTTGGGGGTAATATTGTTGCTGGTTGGTGCCGTAAACTATGCAGCTTAATTTTTAAGTTCGCTCGGAAACACTTCCACCAGAAAATTCCCTAAAAGTAAAATTTGTATTCAAACAGCCATCAACGGGGTGCGTCGATAATACCTTAGTGCGAAAAAAAGTAATATAGGTATTCCAAATTTTTTTTCCATCAACGCCATTTAAATAAATAGAATAGCGCAGTTTGAGATGTAAAAATAAGCTCCTTCCTTTTAAAAATCTAAGTATAACATAAACTTCGCTTTAAAAACTGTTTTCAAACCCTTTCCTAGTTAAGACTAAAATTTGGCATCGACTACACCAAAAAGACAATATTTATTTTGTCGTATAACCGGTATTGCGTAAAAAATCGTGTTTTTTCTTATTTTTTTTTTTAATTTCCAGATTATTATTATGATAAATACTGGTAATTTTCAGTTTTTGCTTCTTAAAAGTACCAACTCACTCTGCTTGGAAATCAGAATCTAAAATGATTTTTCTTGTTCTGTTTTGAAATACAATTGTTATAAATAATTACTAAAGTGTAACATTGGTAAATATTTTACCGCCATGGTTTTACATTTACTGATATAAGAACATTGATTCTGGGGGGCATATAATCGTCGTTTCTAAAACTTTTTTCAATCCCTTTCCTAGTTACAACAAACATTTTTGATCATTTGTTGAAACAAGTTTTAGCAGATATTATGTTTGAGGCGACTAAATAGGTATACATTTTGTTATGCAATACCTTTTTTTTTTTTTTTATTAATTTAGAAAATCCACAATCTGTATAATATTACACAATAGGCAGAATTGATAACAGATATAACACTATATACATACATATAAAAAAAAAAAAACATCATGAAACACAAGATGAGGGAAAACATCCAGCGATGGTACCCTCTAGTAATTTATTTTTTTTTTATTAATTAATTTAATAGATCACGGCACCAATTTCTTTTGAGTCGGCGCTGTGGGTTGTCGGGAAGAGTACGTAATGCTAAGTGAGTGACTAAAGGATTGGGATGGTGTTGCAGTTTAGAATGAAATCTGTTATAATATAATTTAGCTAGTTGGTCAACTGTTGGAATTCTTAGGTCTTTGTGCAGGGTTTCATTTGTTACGTACCAAGGGGCCGAGGCTATTAGCCGGAGAGTGATGGACTGGAAAGCTTGGATAGTGTGGACTTGAGAAGGTTTGGCACACCCCCAGATTTGCATACCGTACGCCCAAATGGGTCTGAGAAGAGATTTTTACAATGTGGACTTTGTGTGTATTGACAGTTTAGATTTGAGAATCGGCCTAAGTAGATGTAGGCGGTTGTTAAGGATTTACAACCTACAATTAAACCTACAATACCTACAATTAAACCTACAATACCTACAATTAAAGAACTCTTAGTTTCCTAAATACCTTACTAAAGTATTATTTTACTTCACCCGATTTTTAATAAAGTTACTTATTATATTTTAAAGAGTAAAATAATAGTTTATAAAATATCATTTCTTTGAGTTAAATACTTAAACAATATTTACATTGAAGAATACAGTGAATATAAGGATTTTTCGAGTTTTGTTTTGCAATTTAAATAACAATTATGGTAATTACAAGTCAAAAAAAATTATGTGCAATGTTGAATAATTAAAAATAATATAATTTGAATCATATAAATTAATCAGGTTTTAAAAATAAATAAACATATCTCATAATTAAAGGGTTAAACACGTATGTAGGTAATACAAAAATAAATATTATATTTGTGTATTTTGATTCCTAATGATAACCACCAATAAGAAGAATACTATTACTAAGTTACGAGAATAATGAGTTAGGAGTGCTGGATAAGTCCCGCATGAGAATGTACAAAATATAATCAAGTGAGGGCTGCAATAGAGTCTTCATGCTGTCTCGTCTCTACAAAGTTCTTGAGTTTGGTCACGACCGTCGACCACGAACTGTTCCTTTCGACCTGAAAAAAATTAAATAAATGGCTGTAGGTAATCGAATTGTGCGCAGTGGGGCGTAACAATACGGTGGCATGATGAGCAAAATACGACGGACCCCCAAGTACAAGCGGCCCCAGAAAATATAATGGAAACAATTTTAATAATTCTTTTAAAAAATAATTAAGATTTCATTTTAGTATAATTATTTTCTTGTTTTAATCCCTATATTATAATTATTTTAAAATTAATATAAAAATTTACTGTTTTACAAGCATCTTTATCTTATATCTTTCTAATAATTTCGAAAGATTCAAAATTTTTGAAATAAAAATCTATAACATTATTATCAAAAATGAAATTTTTGAAATGTCGGAAATATTTATGAGTGAAATTCTAACTATTCGATTTGCTCTAAAAAATAATATCAAAACACTAACTTAAATCAGTGTTATTCATCGAACAATAATAAAAAAATCATTCTTTAACAGTAAGTTTTCCTGAGGTATGTAGAGTCTATACTCTAGGCACTCTGCAGTTTTCTCAATAGTTCTCGTTACATTTACCAGTGCTAAATTATCATTTCCTAAATTGAAAATTATAAAAGGATTTTTATGCAGATATTTACTAAAAATTAAATATTATCTTTTGAGGGTATGGGGTCCATAAAAATCAATAAAAAAATTAGGGTCTACCAAACTTTTTAATTCCGAGTGTCTTGTAGTTAATCGTAATTAAGCCACTGATCACACGATTACATAAATAGTGAGTAGAAAAACAAACGTCGTTACCCTTCCTCTTATCCACTTCGACAGCCCGGACAGGTTCTTGGGCTGCTCGTACCTGCTGTCCACTAGCAGAATAGCGCCCCAATCGTTCCTGTGCCTGATACACCGTCCTAGTGCTTGGTTCAACGCTCTGTAGGCCTGAATCTGATACCACTCCCAGCCGGGCAACAGACCTTTGTTCTTGTGATGTTTATCGTTGTAATCTTTTTTGTGGGTCACGGCGGCCTCTTTATAATTAGGAAACGGAATCCCGACCTAAAAAAAAAAAAAAAAACTTTACAAAATTAATATAATCAAACGAATCTCCACGAAGACTGTATTATGACTTATTACGTGTCAACAGCGTTAATGTACAGAGTAGAGACAGCTCTATAGAGTGTATAGATTTGAACATATTTTTGTTTTTCGTTATACGCTTCCCTGACAAAAATAAAACGAAAACGCCGATTTGTTTTAATTGTGATATCGAGTCAGTAATTTATATTCATACTTAAGATTATATTTTTAAATAGTTTTATAATACATTTAGGTACATCAGATTATGAAACTAAAAATAAAGCCTATAGTCGTTAAAAAAAGTGTATGGAATTTAATTGATTCACTGTTCACCAGTAAACATAACTGGTGGAAAAAATAAGGTAAACAATATCGTGTCAATATAAAACGTCTTAATAATAACAATTTTCCCAAAACATCGTTATAGTTCTCAACATAGAACAAGCCGTGTTCGATGTGAAAGTAAACGCATATTAAACACGTCATAAATTATAAAATAACATATAATTTGACGTATTCCCCAATTGCGCGAGGTCGTGTGTTTGTTTATGTTCGCGCGAGTCGTAACTTACCGCGACCACCGCTCGGGCATTATTGTCCGAGAAATCCAGCCCTTCGCTAATTTTTCCGCGGTAGACGGCCAGGAAGAGGGCGCCGCTCGGGCCCTTCTCGTCCCCACGGACGGCCGCATAATACTTCGTCATCAGCTCCTCGAGCTGGTCACCCCGGCGCGGCTCACACATGACCACCTTGATGCGTCGGAGGCGGTCAAGTTGTCCGGTGACCTGCCACCGGTTGTAGAGCTTCTCCATAAGCATATAAGATGGCATGAAGCAAAGCACGCCATGCGGCACGGCGGAGCACACGTCCCACAGCACTTTCCCCATCTCATCTTGGTAGTTATAGGTGTTTATGTTGCGGTACTGGCCGTTGAGGTCAGTCCCGTCCGGCCCGACACTCACCGACGTCACCCAACACTGGTCCGGCTTGATCACGTGGCCAGCTTCCAGGGCGATCGGGAACTGAGTGCCGAGCTCGGACTGGAACGACTGCATCGGCGATAGGGTGCCGGACGTAAGGATGATAGTGCGGGCCGTCGTTTTTAGTTCGTCGAACACGGCCGCCGGGTTCAGGCACAGGAAGCTAATTATGTTCTTCCACACCGGCCTCGAGTCGTCGGGTTGCGCCGCAGCATTTATCCACCCACCTATGCCGGCCGTTTTCATCTGCGCAGAGCCACGGAAATAATCATAAGCCATATTTTTATAATATATATTTTATTATAATATAAGTTTATACGTGATATAGGTTATAGGTATCTATTAAAATATCTGTTCTATACTTTAAACCTATACAGGGTGATTTTTTTATCGAAGAACACTCATTATTTCAAAAAGTATTAATGTTTAAGAAAATATTTTTTTACATAGTTTCAAGTTGTTAAAAAACAATATTTTTATTAAAAAATTATATTTTTAAATGACAACATCTAATTTTAATTTGATATTCAAAAACAGAATATTTTTCTGAGTATTTCGATACATAAAAATTGAATTTAGGGCAATTAGTTTATGAGTTATAAGTATTTAAAGTTTAGATGAGCGGAGTAGAGGACAAACATTTCGCGGGGTAACCCCGTACCACTCTACTCCGCTCATCTAAACTTTAAATACTTATAACTCATAAACTAATTGCCCTAAATTCAATTTTTATGTATCGAAATACTCAGAAAAATATTCTGTTTTTGAATATCAAATTAAAATTACATGTTGTCATTCAAAAAAGTAAAAAAATTAAAAAATTAAAAGGATAAAAAATATTTAAAAATATAATTTTTTAATAAAAATATTGTTTTTTAACAACTTGAAACTATGCAAAAAAAATATTTTCTTAAACATTAATACTTTTTGAAATAATGAGTGTTCTTCGATAAAAAAATCACCCTGTATATAGTATACATATTATTATGCTCAGTGCCGGCGCTAGGGGAGGACAAATGGGACATTTGTCCAGGGCCCCGCGCTTGTTAAAGGGCCCCGTGATTTTTAATTATCATCTTAATACGAATACCGTGGTCTACCGACGTATATTGCATTATTCTGCCTGCAGCGGTCGCGTACTTAGATATTAAACAATTTATTATTTTATTCAAACATTTTGATGAATTAATTTATAATTGATGATTTTATGTAGTTGTTAAAATAAATGTAAATTAATAAAATAACCAGCCCTTATGAATTTATTAGCCTACGATTTTCCACTCAAAGGTTTAACTGAAACTCACGCTACGCCAATAATTCTGTGCTGAGCGAGGTTTCATCAGGAGGAATCGCACTCGAGTGTGTTGTCTCCGTTTACACAAGTAGGTAAGGTAAAGTGGAGTAAGTGTGACGCAAAAATGAAAAGTTAATTTTGAATTTGACAATACTTTTTTTGTTTTTAACTTAAAGTTGTTATTGTTCCATAATGTAACACCTCTAGATATACATAATTGGAATTTATAGTCAACAAAGTTATATTATCACTCACCTAAGAATAATTTTTTTTTTAATTTTAAAACGTCACACTTGACCCTTTTCATGGGGCAAGTGCAAAATCGGATTGTTTTTGCTATTAGTATTACATAAAATTATATATGGGGCAAGTGAATAACAAAGATAAAAATAAGCTTTAATTTGATTTTTGTTTCATTAAAATATCTTGATTCATTAAGAATTGACAGAGCATTATTTAAATTTAATTATTTACTTATATTATATATAAAAACAGTACTTTTTTTAAAATCCTGATTTAAAAAAAGCTAAAATTTCACTACTCTCTGAGAACCTAAAGGCTATTACCTATGACCAGGGCCCCGCAATACCTAGCGCCGGCACTGATTATGCTCTATGGTGGATCCATTAACAAATATGATAATTATATGATGCAATGCAAATAATATATATATATATATATATGTAATATATGTTAATGTATTAAAAAATAATGGTGAAAAAAATAAGAAAATACCTGCATGAGCAAGAATAAACAACAGACAATTTGAATTCAAAATAACTTATCAGTATTTGAATAAACAATTTGGTAAGCAAAATTGAAAAGAATAAATATTTAGAACATATTATTAAGTTGCACTTATTTCCCATTATTCACATACATTCAATCATAATGCCAATATTATTATTGTCTATACTCTATTGTATAATTTAAATATTTATCATCGTGATATTAAAAATCAAATTACCATTTTATACTTAAAAAAAATAATGGGTAGAATTAAACTAAATCGACCTATATTCCACAACTGATCGGACTGATACCAAATCTATAGTCGAAAAATTAATATTCTAAAACAAACAAAACTATACCTACAGTTAAATATATAATTTAACCCTGAACAATTTTACTCTATATGTTGAGTAAATAGAATTTACAAATAAACTTTGTAAATATTATGCTATGGCCTATTAGCTACAAGTATTTTCTAGATCAATAAAAAAAATCCATCAAATCAAAGAAGTAAGTATATGGGTATGTGATATATGATGAATCTATTATTACGACAAGTTCCACTTGTTTCTTCAGTAATCAGTAATTATTAAATATGATTTATGACTTTATGATCTTTTGAAAAAATAATACCACTTCGAATTTTTAAGTTATACACTATACCTCTTCTTATTAGTTTTTTTTTGCCATTTTTCGCATTCCGTTTATAATAAATTTAAGTAACTACACGGTGTTTTTTAAATGTTTTAAGGTTTGTTTAATTTTTTTATCCTTTCCGAGCCTTGCCTATGATATACTGATGATAGACGTCTCATGGTAAGTACCTACCTAAGAAAAATAAATACCTTAATACAGAATTAGTCACCTTAAAATAATTCGTAAATCGTTTGTATGGGTTGATCGGGCCCCCTCACTGCCCGATGCACTTATAATTTATAGTTATATTAATGTATTGTTTTCTATATGTTTCAATAAAAAGATATGTGTGACTTACACCTCGTTCTTTGTGTTCATATTTCTTTAACTCCATGATCTTCTCTAGAGAAACGTGGTAATCAAATTTGTACTTCTCATCATATAACAAACTAAACACCGAACAAATCGACGACAATACAGTTTTAGTCGCGTTTGTAATAGCCGCATCGACATTATCTTGGGACGAACGGTTTTCTAGCGTTTCAGCTTCGTCCAAATCACTATCTTCCTTTTCTACCAATTCATTTTCCCCATTTTCTTTTGTATCCATTTTTGTATCGTCGGGTTCACTTTCTTCGGCCGAATCTGCCAAAATGGTTTCACAATCTTTCTGAAAAAACACAAAAATAATGATTTGTGGCTAAACCGATAGTTGCAATTTTAATTTTGGATTATATACACACTTTGAACTTTTCGAAGGCCGTCAACCCGATACCAAAATCGTCAAAACTGGCTATGGTGTATGTCCCAGTCCATGATATAACTCCGCGGTTATAATCGTCGTAAGTTTTAATATCGTTAGACTTTTGATCGATCCACTTTGATAAATCGGACAAATATCGAGCCTATAGCAACCAATAGAAGTTTTATGCATTATATAATGTATTAACTATAATAAATATTGATATCTAATTATTATGACGTAAGTAAAGTTTATATATATGCCAATATATATTATAAACGTACGTGCGTGTACATTATAACGATTTTACAAATTGTAACAATGGTAATAATTATCACGATAATAATAATACCTATGTAATATACGAAAATAGTCGAACAGACATAATAAACACTTACCAGCCTTGAGTACGACAGTGAATTGCTGCAAGACTTATATACTTTTTCGCAGTCCGCTTTGGCCATATTCATATTCGTCTGATCCAATTGCAGACTTGCGGCTTCACGGCATTGATCCTCGATATTATGAGCTTCATCGACGATTATCACGTGGCCTTTTAGTTTCAAGTTCATCTTAAGACAAAAATTAGTCAATGTATTAGTCAATCGGACTACGAAAATAATTGAATTCAACGAAAATAATATCGGGCGATAGAAAGTAGGTATACAATTTATACAAACAAAAATTGGTATATGTTATATAATAAATTAACCATATACAATTATGATTTACCACATATAATAAGAAAGTCGAACATACTAAACTACTGAAGTATAATGTATTTACTTACTGAACTTCTGATAACCGGATCAATGATATAATTGTAAGGACAAAAGACGATTTCGGCAGTTTTGAGCAACAATCGTGTACCGTAGTATGGACAAGATCTTTTAGAAATGCCCAAGCGCACTATATCTTCGATATCCCAAACAGATTCCACCCCGAATTTGGCTAATTGGCCATAAGTGCTTATTTTCACGCCACCGTTATCGTAATAGCTACACCTATCAATTGTCCTTCTGAACTTTATCGAATTTCTCCGTCTCTGTAATGGAACGCAAATAAATCAAACAAATTTATTCCGTTGTCATTTTAAAATTCTGCAATTTTATATTATACTAAGAAGAATAGGATTTCAAAATATACTTGGTAATTATTGAAAATAATAGTCACTATAAATATTATTATATTAGTATAATAATATTATATACTTACTAGTTATAGTTGCAGTTATTACTGTATTAGTTATTTTTAGGAGAACGTTACGCTTACAAGTTATAACCGTGTTTGCATTTTAAATTTTATAAGAGAGTTACATATTTATCGAATTTGCGTTCAGGTTTAACACATCTAAATTTGAGCATTTTTAAATTTTAATATTTTACATAAGCACTTACTTAACCTAACTCTAATCTAACCTAAATTTAAAATATAAGTAGGTACCTACTAAAAACCTCTGAAATGAAACGGATGTTGTAAGTTTGTAACGGTTACCTTTAAATTTGTTATTTAATTAATTTACTCTATAGTAGATGGGTCACCAAATGGCGGCCCGCGAACAAATTTTATCCGGCCCGCAGACAAAAAATAAAAACACATATTACGACAACATTCTATAATCTATATTCTATGTGTTATTGTTGTAAATTATTTTTTTGTTAAATATTATTGGTTTTCGTCGATTCACCGACAACTGCTGATAAATTAGTCGCAAACCAAATCTTATCTAAACTTTAATTGGGTCATAGGGTGAAATTTTTCAAATGTTTAACAGTTAGTTGAGAGCAAAATTTGTCATTTTTCTCACTAAACAAATTTCTATTTTATTGTATTTATAATTAATTTTTATTTTAAATTTTTCAAATGTTTGTACTATTAATTATGTATTTTATGTTTAAAAACAATAACAAATAAAAAAATAAAGTTCTCATTACATCCAATTTTAAAATAATACCTATTATTGTTGAAAATATGTACTTGTAATTTGAATGGCCCGCGAAAAATTTTCAGATTCCTAATGTGGCCCCCAAAAAATATTAACCCCTACTATAGTATTTAAACTAACGACACTAAACTACATAAATTTCTCAACATTGCTACAAAATGCTATTAACATGGTTAATCACACTATTAGAAAGTTTTTAAGTTTTCTCTAATATCTGTCTTCACATTTTAAGTAATTTTATAAATCTGCAGTCTGTGATTTACGAAATGAGATAATATATCTTTCTATAAGTATCTATTCACCATTCATAACTGATAAAAAAATAATGTAAATATAAGTTTATTAAACTTTTTAACACAAAACTTTATGATAATAAATGGTTTAAAATTTAGAAGAGAAATAAAAAATATAACAGGACATCAGTCAAAGGTTATAGAAAATAATAATAATATGCTTGAAGTATATTGAAAATAAATATCATCAAAAACAAGAGAATTTAAAAAAAAAATGTTTTCTATGTAAAAGTTGAAATATACATTGTGATAACGGCGGTACAACTATAGTTGTTAAATATATTTAAAGTTTTTAAAATTTTGTTGTTGGTTTTATAGCACTGAAACTCTATGTCAAATTAAAATTTGAAATGTTAATACATTTTTTTATTCCTTTATAATCTGTATATAGAAATAATTTAAGGTTTTACTTTAAACAGATTATTGTGTATAAAATGCCTTGAATTCAATGCACTTAAAATTTCAGAAATACAGTAAAAAATGCATAACACATATAGTATTCATAATTAAAAATATAAAAAATTTCTTAAGTATGTGTAGTGGGTACACGTCAATAACGTACCTACGCACAAATTTTATGAAATATAAAAAAGACGAAATAAAAAACTAATTTATAAAATGCTTGTATAAAGTTTTAGTTGACGCAAATTATTAAATATATCAAGCTAAATATAAAATAATGATGAAGAACAAAAAACCATGCTAAATAAAAAATTTCAAAAATTGCAAAAACTGCAAAATAATATATTCAAAATTTAATTCATAATAGTACCTAATTCAAACTTTCTGTTTAGAAAACTTTATTATACCAGTTATTGTTCTGTGATAAAAATTCGCAATATTGATTCATAGTATTCTTAATTCTACTGTAAAGTTAAAAGCTTAACTTTTAATTTCTGCCAAATATATAGTTATATGACATTTACATTCAATATAGTTTTAAATAGAATGATGAACATTTTAGTTTTTGCAACTAAAATGAATAGTCAACAATCACTGCTATAAAGAAGGCGTGGAGTGTATCTCGTCATGATAGTAAGTCACTGTAAAGTATATGTGGCGGTGGAAAGCTGGTCGTTTTTTAGTGCATTTAACTAATAAGAGCCAAGCGGAAGAAAAAAAATATACTTCCAGAAGTCCAATTTTAAACTTGAAAAAATATTTGAATTCCTTACTCTCTTTTCTAGGTTATTTAGGAAATGGAATTTCGAAATTTTTTTTTAGGAAGACTAAAGTAAATGTGAATTTTGAATAAAAATTAATTTAGTGCAACCAGTACTAATTAAACAATAAACTCACTCATACTAATGATCAGCCACTATAAAAACAGCACACATATCACTCACGGTGGACTCCAGGTTGCGGTTTTTAAATATGTTCATATAATTCGATCAGTTACTATATGTAGTTAATAATATTTGTTTAACTTTACAATTTATGTCATCAAAATTGTTCTGATTGTAATACTTTTTAATGAATATAATCGTATTTAATATTTATTATCTCCATACCAGCTGGTTACTGGCACTTTTAATTTTTATTAATAATTATTAAGTAGTACCCCGTCTGTAAATTCTCTAATATCAAAATATACGTACCATACTGTATACTATATTGTTAAATGTGTTATAATATATTAATCATGCATTATTAAATTGTGTTACGATTTGATTACGTTATGATACTCGAAGTCTTGAACTAAATACTATTAATCAAAATATCCCATAATGTCTCCCCCCATTAATAACTAACAAAACCCGTCAGTAGTAATATTTTTGCAGCATTTTGTGTACCAACTACCTACCTACCGATGAAATGTGATACGGTACATTTTATTGCGCTTTCAATTGTCAATGCCCACCGGCATTTATTATAACAATGGCCAATAAGGATTCAAAGTGTATAGGTAGGTACACAAATGTTTTTCTAAACCAGTTACAATTATATTTTGTTGGGGTCTCGTTTCGATGTTAAGAATAATGCGTTTGTTTTGTATTTCACAATACACATGGAATCGTATATATAAACATTCAACGGGATGTAATAAATTCCGATACATCTGAACCGTACACTTACCGCTTTCGGATCTAATAAATCCCTACATAGTTCGGTTTTTGATTTGTATGATATCTGGGGGTAGTATATATTAGAATCTTGAATACATGTGTGTTCGCGACTCGCTAACACGCAACTCCTAAACGAAGAGTAAATAAATACATTATATTTTATTATAATAAATGAGACACGTTTTTATCTCAGCTTACTTGGCGGTATTGAAACTAGTTCTTTGTAACTCTTTGATAACTTGTTCAATTTGTTTATGAGTTCTCGTACAAAAGTATATTACAGGGATAACTGGTCTAAATAAAAAAAAAATGTTTTAAATTAACAATTAAAAATGAGTACCTAAAGAATTGATTGTAGGTATATGCCATATGGTACTAATATTTTTACTCTTTTAAGTAATAATTTTTAGATTGTATATTTTTAATTTTGTAACGTACAAATACGGCGAAACAATTATTTGTAAGTTATTTTATTAAATTTCAATATTTAGTAATCTGATAGTTTTATCTATAAGTATTTATACCGTATAATATTACCAATTAACCATATTTATGATCTAAGTAGTAAATTATAAAAATTATAATATAAGTATGTAGGCAATTGCAGAACGTTTCAATTGATTATGGTAAGTGTTTTTTTGAATTACAGCAGATTAACTAAAACCATTTGATAAAATAATATATTTTGAACATCCAATGTTATCAACATTTGAGTTTCAAATGCCCATAAAAAATTACTGTACCTATTTATCTATATACAAATATATAATATACTAATAAGTAATTTATTTAAATTTCTGTAAAATAAACATATACAAAACAATGAAATGCATTTTCAAATCTAATAACTATTTAAAATTAAACATTGTATGGATATTAAATTTCAAATAATTTCAAATTTTCAAGACTCGTACGAACTATATAATTTATTAAAACATATTAAGTACTCGTTAAAATAACTACGTCAGAGTCTATGTCAATATTTTTTTGCACGACATATTATAAATAATTAGGTACTGCGTTAATGATACTATATATAACTACATTATAAAAAATAATAAATGTGATATAATATTAAAATGTAAACAAGTTTTTAGAAAATAATTTATGAAAAATATGTATTGTAATTTTTTAGAGCTTATTAGAAATCAGCAATTGGCTAAGATTGACTAACGTGTAGAGGTTGGTGATAGTTATTTTTAATTCCCATCTCTAAAAAAATGTAATTCGGCATCCCCACGCCGACAAACGTATTTATTTTTTTCTATTTTTTTTTCTATATGATAGAGTTAATTAAAAATGTAATATAAATTACTTCCAACATAGTTATATTAAAAAGAAAAAAAAATGTAATACTAAAATAATTGAATTGAATATAGCGTCATAATATAGAGTTAAATCATAATAAGTTGAGGAAAAACATTTTAAATTTCTTTCAAAACAAGAACTGAAAAATGCAATATTTTTAGACAATATATTGCTATAGCGGTGAATTGTAAAATAATAATACTGCTTAAAATGTATTACCTAGATTTCTTCGGCATATTAGTTACTGTTTTTGGTTCGATTTTTTCGTCTTCGTCTTCTGTCATCAAACTGTTGTTAGCACTGGAGTCATTGGTCATTATTGATTCGTCGTTTGACATGCTCTTGCTGTCGGAAACGTCCTATAAGCAGAACAAATATAATGAATTAAATGTTCTCTCTGTTCATTATTATACCTGGTCCCGAAAATCCACTCACTAAATCTCTGCTGTTATTTATTTTTCTCTTTTTACCAGGCTGTTTAAACACGGCCATTTCTTCTTCCGAATCATCGCTAATAGTGACGACCGTTGACAAACATAATCCTTTAGTTTTAGCGGGTGAAATATTCGTTTCTGTAAAAAAAAAAAAAACATAAAATATTCGTAAGACGAAGACGTCCGGTATTATAATTGAATGCGGTGCGGCATTAACGGCGGGCGATGGCGAAGAGGGGGCAAATATCATCCGATGATAGCCAACTTTTCGTTTGTATGTAAACGGATTCAAGCTTATCCGGAACGGATATTATACGCCATATACTGCTTGCGCCCTGTGGGGATATTATTAATCGCGTTTTCCTTCCCCATTTATTTTTAATAATGACAAACCGGAGGGTTTCGCAAAAATCCTTTTGTGAAAAGCCCCCCAGGGAGGATATTTGCTTGATATAGAAGTTATTATAAGAATTTTCTCTCGGTTTATTTTTTTAATTTTTTTTTATTCGCCTCGGTTAAAGTATAGAAGAACAAAGAAAGATGACGTCGAGTAACAAGCAAAAACAGTGCACCGTACTCTTCCTTCATCACAGAGACATAGGTATCCAATAAATACCTATATACGACTATACGCGGAGCATGCGTATATATTTTAAATTGTAATTAACTTAAAATTGATTCTATATAGGTATACACTTTTTAAAATATAAAACACAAGCTACATAATAATTATTATATGTAGGATGCAACACATTTCTGCTTACATTATACTGTGTAACGAAGTTACGTGTCGGATCAACATCGACCGTTATGAGTTGAACTTTTCAAAGACAACACAATATATTAACATGTGCCTATATTATATTATTTCTACTTTGTGTACTTATATTAAATTATGTCGAAAATATATAAACATTTGTATCTACGGTAAACCGAAATGTCGAAATACCATATTATATAATATTGATATCATAATGATAGCATAGAATAGTATAAATGCAACAAAAATATATATTTATATACTCTCACTGCTACTACTGGAATGGTCCATAATATTTTTAATTTATAGGTATTATAGCCGTATAGGTACAATAATAATATATACAATAAGTTAGTATAAAGTAGTATCGTTAAAAGTCAGTCGGTTAAAATACTGTTAACTGCATATTAGGTAGGGATATGCAAGGTGTAACAGAATGACCCGACAAATTAAATAACATTGGTTCTAACCAATATTAAATATTTTTTTTAATCCAAAAATAAAAATAAAATAAGAAATTCAAAAACGCCATAGTTTCTATGATCAATTTCTAAATCTAATACTTAGAAAATGTTGATAGTAAAAATATTTATTTAAGTCAAGTAGTTTATTTTTTCCAATTCTTTAAAATATCAAGATTTTTTTGGAGTAAGTGCCTAAATTAATTCGAAACGTAAAAACCTTTTTCAATATACATTCTTTTTGAGAATTTTAAGACTTAAGTAAATTTTAAATTATTAGTTATCTATATATATAAATCCATAATTTTTCGCATACGTTTAACTTGTACCAATTTTTCATTTTTATTTGTCAGTTCTTTCTGTTACACATTACATCCTGTAAATTATACGAGGAGTATATAGATATATAGAATGACATTAATATAGGATTCAATGGAGTAAAATTATTAAATATTTACATATATACCTATAAGTAAATTATACATTGTGATGGTATAATGTAATGACGGCTTGGTTAAAAAAAATATTTTAATTTTATAATAGCAACATAAACGTTAGTTCATTAAATTAACTGTAGAAAACTCTATTCAGCTTATATTTAAGTGTTAAACAATTTGGCCAGAAGATGCTATAATTAACAAGCAACACAAGTGTTTTAGAAGTTAATTTCCTTCTCTGAAGCAAAATAATGTTTAGTTTTTAATGACTTCCTGAGATTAAACTTCAGGTTACACACTTATACGTCTTTGAATTAAAATTTGTTTGCAGACTCTTAAGCATTAATAGAACGACAAGGGTTGAATTATATACATATAACATAAGTACTTGTTTTACTTTAACAAAATATAGTTCATTCTTTTGTGTTACATCACAGATTTACATAATAAATGAATAAAAGTCTCAACCTCTTAAACAACGTTTCAGATATATATATTTTTAAGTATATATATATATATTACAGTAAAGTGAGTAAAGTATTAGGTATACATTTTAAGCTGCAGAGTTGTGGTAAAGAGCATATCTGTTTAAACATATCAAGATAATAATATATCTAAAGATGATTCCCATATTATTAAGGTATAGATTACAAAAAGTCATTATTTAAAATACTGCACGATTATAATATCGTATAAACGATGTAATCACTAGGTAATAATAGATAAACTTTATATATAACTTTAAAGAAAGTAGTCCTTGGCAGCAAGGGTGTACGGAAACTAATTTGTCACAAAAAAAAATGTATATTCGTAAGTGCCTATTGTTATGTAATTGTTATTATTTTTAATTAAGTGTAATGTATTCATTTAAAATTAATAAACGATGGCGGCGCTGTCGATGTAATGCTTAAGCAGTTCCAGCAGCGTCGTCGATGCCACAAAAAAAAAAAGGGTAAGTGGATGTCGCTCTGCTGTGCAGTAAGGTTACAAGTGGGTCGATGTATAATGGATTGTATTAAACTTGAATTCAATGATATAATATCATTGTATAAGAAAAGCGATTCTGAGGGAGGACTGTTTGTCAGTCTGGATTTTGTATATTTTTATTATTTATTATAGTCTATAAGTTGATTAATATTATAATATTATAATTATTTATTTATTGATATGGTGATAAACAAAGCGTTAGAAATTAAAATCCTATTTTTAGCGGTTTTTCGTAATTTTTCGGTAGTCTTTCCCGTGGCATTAAATAACTATTGAAAATATCGAAAAATGACCTCTTTCGAGTACCATCTTGATCCGATTTTCTAAAAGATAAGGTACTATGTGTTGAAATCGAAGCACTCCTTTTGGTAGAAATTTTGTATACAGGATAAAAAAAAAAAAATAAATACCATTGTAAATCTTCCTCGTTCCGCTATAGATTCTTATAAGAATCTAAAAGATAGAATTTTAGATAGTTCACTTGTCAACGATGAATATATAATATTATGTATATTTATATATTCCCGTGTTTGGAAACACTTCATTCAATAGTTAAATATTTTGATTTCGGTATTGATTATCGGTACCTATAGGTGCATGGCATAGGGACGGTTATTGCAACTATCGGAATATTTAAATCAGAGTAAACAATTTGAATTCATATTCGTTTACGGACCCAAGTTTACGAATTGGCCTATTATATAATATGTACAATGTACATACGTATTACAAATTAGTCTGTGCAGCACAAATATGCGGTTTGATGGGTTCAGTCAAGTTATAAAGTATGAGAAAAAGTATGAACACGTTCACAAAAAAGATTTGACTTATAATATATGTGATATTTTTTTCCATAAATGCAGTTAGATATAGAATATTATATAATGGGTTTTACAATAATATTTATTTAATGTGAGAGATATACTTTTAAATATTCGTAATTATTAGTTGATTAACTCTTAAAAGAATCTACATAGGTTATAATATTATACATATAGGTACATATATTATATTATACATAGAAAGGGATTTAAAACACAAGTAACTTAAGCATAAATTAACAAGTACTTATAAAAAATACAAACAAGTTATACAACATATCAAGTATATAATTGCTGTTTAGATGCAACAAAAAAAGCGGTTAGTCTATTTTTTATGATGTTATAAATATATATATATATATATTCGGATGTGTCCTGACTAACTAAAGTTAAGTTATAGTATTATAACTATGATATCTAGAGAATTAAAATGTTCGTGGTAACTTTGTACCACCGTTTATGGGTGCACGTTTTACGAAAGGATTTTCCGAAATTCGTATTTTAAAGAGGGCTCACCCAAGGATTTTGAGATTAAAGATAATAAACTTGAAACATTTTTTTTATAAATATTTGCCAATGGTTACAGATTTTAATAGCAATAGTATAAATTAGTATATTTTTTTTGTTTATAATTGGTTACTCTGGCAGATGATGGAAGAGCATAGAAGCATGGAAGAGAGTAGTTTGAATCACGTAAATCGGAATAGTATACCAAGAGCTATAATATCTGAACCGAGTTAAGTATACACTAATTACGAAACTAAGCCAGTATAAGCTAGTATAGTTTTAACATAATATACAACAACTTAAATCATTTTTATTGAAATAGGATGACCTAGTATCGACGGAAATAAATAGGCGTTTTCGAACATAGAGATGCAAAAATAATGGTCGTAGATTAGGTACTTGATTAAAAATTAAAAAACGAACGTTGGCTCAAATATTACTAATTAACTTTGTTATATGAAATATGATAATTAAAATCATAAATTTCGTATTTTAAATACAAAGGGCAAATAAATATAAGAGGTATTCTCACACAGCGATTTTTTAACGCAATATTTTTTGTTTATATAAGGTTAGTTCATATTTGTTATAGAAAACAAAATTGTTATTATGATTGGATAGTAACTTTCCCGACCGGCGTTGCCAATGCCAAAGTTTTTTTTTTATAAATATATTTTTTCGTGAGCCGAAAAAATTCATGTATGGAGCTCCCTTTTAGTTACCTATAGGATTGAAAAAATAAACTATAAACACCCTCTAAATTTCAAGGAATCTATTGGTATAACTTTTTATTGAAAACAGTCCAGTAGTTTTCGAGTCTATTAACTTCGGTCTTCGGATAAACCAACAGGGATTAAAAATATATAAATATATCAAAATTATTATATTAGATCAATTATAATATAATATTATTATCATTAACCCAACCTGTGGCAATTATTTATAAAAAAAAAAAAAAAAATACTAATTTCAACTAATTCGCTTCTATTACTATATTATAACTTACTATATTATAATATGCAATACCAATGGCAAACATCTATATTCCAAAATCTCATAGTAAAAAAGTTTTTCAGATTTTCCCAATTTTTCTTTACGTAAAAGCCTCTTTCGGATTTCGGATTATTTACGAACATACTTTTAAAAAAATTAGCCGTATCGGTCC